GCTAAATGAGTTTTCAATGTCAAATGTGGGTCACGTACTGAACAAAGCTATGAGTTTTAAGCGTTTTCGACCGACATGTCATTTGTTCCATTCATAGCGTGCTAAGTGCAACTTTCAACATTGGAAAATTGGCATGCTCTGCTAGACAGATGTAGAGTGTGTGCGCCCAAGGAATAGGAAGGCGATCCACCTAGGGAAATTTTCGTATTATCACTAGGATGCTGCTTTTGGAACTTGAGTCTAACCTGAATAGTCGAATATTATGTTATCGATGGTTAGAATCATACGTTTAAATATCCAAAGCTGGAGAATCTCGAAACTTCTCACAGATCTGAGATGTAAGTGACTTTGAGGTGCTAGATTGGGACTTGAAGGAAATCTCGCCAACCAGTTACTTGCAATCGCTGCGAGCAATTCAAAATGTTTCATAGAAGCGTAAGTGAATTAACCCGAAATATGACTTTGAATTGGGTTGCAGAAGCGTACAGGTAATTATCCGCATCGGCCATGTAAAATTGGCAAGATTTGTAAATTCCAAAATAAATATTTATGGTCCCGCACTTGTCGCGGGGTTTGAATTGCACCCAATCTCGATCGGAGTCGATCTAGATGGCCTTTTCGTTTAGCCATTACCAATCAACGTTCTCGAGAAGATTTGAAAATAGGTTGTGAGGGTTATATGCTGATGTGTCGTGTCTGGAAAGATCCACTCATTTCAACCTAATGCTAGCGGTAGATTGCAAGTGGCACCTTCACATGTATATGATCATGCATAGCATCGCGATGACCATTGTTGCTAGTGGCATAAATTTGGAAGGGATTTATTATGACCGTTTGCCGAGAACGGATCCTATGCTCTGTTTTGTTCATCCTCGTGGTGTTTCATTTTCAATGACGAAAATGAGCTCGTAGATTTTCAATGGCTGAAATTCCATTCAATACTCATAGCATAGCGGTCTGTTCCCAGGGTTTCAACCAGCGACTAGGATACAATGATTGGTGCATACGCCAAGATGAAAAAGAGGTTTCTTATGAAGCATGCACTAAGATGTGAATGACACACGTAACATTCTAGGGGAACATCTCACCAGCATTACTAGGAATCATGAGCAGGATCTTCGCTACTCTCCAGTAACTTTCAAATCAGTCCCACACAATGTTCTATTGCTTCTTCAGCTTCTGTTATTCGTTGTCAGGCCCTTGATTTATGAGTGCTGCACCTAGTATATGCAGCAGTTATTTCGCCGCAATACCATTCAATAATTAAATTGTTGATACAAACAACATGCATCTTCCGTTTTTCATTCGCTTCACTTTCTCTAATCTCTCACCAATAACAATCCTAATCATGTCTTATAGACTACCTCCAAATTCAAAATGAGTAATGGAAGCCGGATTGAAAACGTACCCACTCTCTTGAATCGCATTCTCACACTATGTAAACGCAGGTTGAGCCAATTCATGTTCAGTTTGGATCTTTCTCGCCAATGCGGGAACATCAGGAACTCAAGAAACGGTCGAAAAAAGAAAACTATCCATCTTGCGAAATTGTCCGAAAGGTGATACACTCCCGGCTAAGTAATCAAGCTACCTCAAGGCTCAAAAGAGAACAGGTTTAGGCTGAGCTAGCTGAGTTCGTCCAGTATTCCCACATTGTCAGCTTTACTCGGACATATCTCCGGGGCTTCCAGCCAACAATAAAGACATGTTGGGTCCAGACGGAATAACCTCTCCAGCGGCTAGGGTGGCCTTGCTTTTCTTTGAAAGCTATAGTTCATCCCCTTCATTTTCTTTGTTTCCGCTCATTATTCCTGTCTTTATTTCCGAGCGATAATGTCGAAATTATCGTTCCTGCTGGTATGATTCAGGTAGAGCTAGTACAAATTTGTACTAGTAGAGCTCTAATAGAACTCTGATTCAAGCAGAGCTCTCACCTCACCCCTCATAGAATTCTCGCAAGCTTAGTGATGGTCTCAATGCCTTCCTATTACAGACTTTATGTTTCCCATTGTACCCTGTGAAGAGTCATAGTCTTGATTGATAAGTCGGATCACGCAGTATACCCAAACCTATCTGCATGCTCTTCCGTGGCAGTTGTGTTCTCCCTCTACATTGCAATCTTTTATTGAGTGAGTAACCGTGCTTGAGCTTTTATGACTCGAGCTTAGGGTTTCATTATAATGTGATGTGAATATAAATACTCATTCTTTGCCCCTCCAGAACCGGAAGTGTTTTGTATTATCATGATTGATTTGTCAGTTGTGACTGACTGAGATAGCTTAGTCACGATTTATTTATTGGATAGGAATTTTCTTTGGTTTTCTTTCTCTCAACACAAGCTATGTAGTCCCCTTTTATGTTCATGAAACTCTGATTCTAGAAGCTTCGAGAGGGTTCCATCCAGATGTATTAGTAATGTCTGCCATTGAATATGGAATTGAACTTGCGAAGCTATTTTTCTGATATTTTGTATTGAGGAATCTGAAATGTATGTTGAGGTTTACGACTGAACTTCAGTCACAGGGGGTGGGCTATCTTTGCCGTTTCGATGATTTCTATTCGGTGATGTTACTAACAAACTTCAGGAACCTAATGTTATTATGGAGTAAGATTAAACATTCACCAAAACTCTACTGACACAATCCTGTCAATTTCTTGCTCATCCAAAAACAAAGAGAATTAATTAGCTTTCAAAGCAATCTATTGTACGGAATCATGTATAAAAAATATTTTACACCTAGACCGGCTCTTCGTCGATTTAACGTTCGCATATTGAGTACGCTTAGTGATTCCGTGGTAGCCTTTCCGGACCAATCAAAACTGGTAGGACGTTTTGCTCCGCTGGGAGCATGTATTATGTAATCAGAATGGGACTGTGCGTTGATTCTACAGCGATTTTCGCTGACAAAGCAGCTCTAAATGCATCGCTTCGGTCCCCACCTCCGAATGCGATCAGATATGATTACTTAATCATTACTTCTTTCACTGGAATTTGTGTTGGGAAGTAGACAGAAGAAAGAACAAGAGAGAGAGAGAAAACCAGATGATAAACATCGAGCGCAGCGAGGACTGGGGGTTTGGGGGCGAAGCCACCATATAGAATGTTTATAACAACCTTAGCTAATAAGAGCAAACCCCCAAAAGAACCTAATGTAGCCCGTTAGAGCCACGAACCTTTCCAACATCGAGATTCGTTTCAGTATTGCATGTTAATGCCATCGAAAAAATAAGGTGAAATTTACGATGCACATAGTATAACTACGACGTAGACTGACTGATTACTGGGTTGCTACAACCATGGAGGTTGTTCAAGTGGTGGGCTCGTAAGTAACAGCAAAGGATACTGAGACTGTTTGGATTCCGGTCTTCGCCAATCGGGTTTCGGGATTTCTATGGTATTGTGGTATGTATGTATGGATGTAGTGAGGAAGAGGAACAAGCCAGGGAGAAGTCCAACGATAGATGTTGGATGTTGGATGAAAGAGGGGCGATAATGAAATGAAAAATGGACAGGGCTAGGCGTGAACTCCGGAGTAGTACCGACTAGTGGTAGACGTGAAGTATTAAAGATGAAGGAGAATGAAGGAAGATGAAGAGAGATGCGATAATTGATAAAAGAGATGGGATTTTGAGAAAGTTAAATAAATTGCCATGTTTTTTCTTGTTTTCCTTAGAGGCGTTATTAATTGTGAGTGGTCAATTATCGCTAAGGCTGATTGATAGGTTGAATAGCGGATAGCTTAAAGAATAATGAGGGGGTGGCGATATATCTTTTCCTCTTCCTCTCCCTCTCACTCTTTTTCTCTCCGGAGATTCTATCTGATATACACGCGACTTCATATTCGAGGATTGAAAGCGAATTGTATCTTTGAACTTTCTATTCGACTTTCCCATCTAAAGTCTTTGTATGTAACACTTTACTTTCGCATGTCATCGTTTAGTAGCCATCTCCTTGACCAATGTACGTGCTAGAATCATTTTCTACTCATCGTTTTCAGAGAAATTCTACAACCATGTCGGAGGAAACCTCCTTAGAAATTGGATCAAAAATAAACGTTTCACATGTGTTTATCAAATGTTTATAAAATGGGACAATGAAAAGCCAAGGCAAGGTTAGTAAAACGAAGTTTGAAAGCGGTGATTGGATATTGCAACCAACGGAGGCTTCATCGGCATACGAGTTTTCATTATCTGGCCTGCATAAAGGAAACCTTGACACTTTTCCACCAGATTCGCACGTCTTCTTCGATTTAGGCTTCTTCGATGCTTGTAAATGCGGGGATAGCTAGTAAAAGCTTGGTTTTTATTTAATTTTTCTCTTTTTTTTTCCTTTTCGAAGCCGGTTCATGCGACGAAGAGAGATAAGAATGAACAAGTGATAGAGGAAGTACACCATCCCCTTTGTCTACGGTAATCATTAATCTGTATCGATTCAGTTAGAGTGTCATCGGGAATCGAACGCTTCTTGATGCTTATTGGATTCGATGGTCTGATGTCATTATGCGCTGTTGCTTGCATTATGAAGACGGAGCTGGATATAATTGTCTCGCCGTCTCGCCCTGAAATTGTTTGATTGCTACCCTCTATTAAGTTGACTTCTTTCTCAATAAGAATTGAGATATACGATACAATATAAGATTCAAGCTACAGGCAGAAAAGCCTTTTAACAATTAATATATTATATTTGTTCTAATATTGTTTAAGAGTTCGCAGCATAATCTTTCCTGAAACTTTATATCACCTGTCATCAGGTTATCTCAACAGATCCAAGTCCCATGGTACTGCCTGCCTCTTCGCGATTTAATAAAAGCTTCAAACCTATCACACATCTACTAGTGTTTGCTTGCTCCAGCTTGACCTGATAGGCCAGTTACCTCGACCGTCAGTTGGAACCCGAATACATTCTGATATCAGTACTAATAACAGTACACGACCTAGTTTTCCAATTAATGCTAGTCAGCGAGGATCGAATATCTCAACATATCCGTAAATCCGTGGCAATGTACCGAGCAAAGTTCCAGGACCCTCTCCCGGGCCAACTCAGTTTCGATGAGTACGTCGCCGATGAAGTGCTGAAAATCCAAAGCAACAATCTTGCTTCCAATTTACTTCTCAGTCCAAGAACAGAAAAAGCACAAGCAGATTGGAATGAACTCATAAATGGAAATGACCAGGTAAGATAAATCCGAAATAGCTTCAATCTCTGATTGGTGGACGGTTGAAGCCGAAAGTTGCAAGGTTTTAAATTCTCACAGGCTTTTATGGATTTGAACATCACAGAAGATGATTCATTTTCGACGATATTCGATGATGTTATACACATACCGAATACAACTCTCAACACAAACACAAATGAGAAACAACAAGATGTGAACGGTTGGAGTCAAAATGCCACAACAAATTCGATTGACCAGTTTAGTAATCTGTTCACAAATATCTCTGAGAGTTCATTGAACGTTGACAACTCACTACTCATCTCTACTCCTCAAATTAAAAATAGTCCCAGAATTTCGACAGAAGATGCTTCAGTTGACATTGAAGTTGTAGCCAATTCGCCGAACGCTAATTTGGCCTCTCTCAAACCCTCTAAGAAACGAATTTTAAGTCCTCTTACCCATCCGAAAGATACGGACCCTCTCACCACCGACTCCAATTCCATCCCTTCAACCACATCACTTCCCCCAAAAAAGAAACGTCGCCCCCGCGCCAAGAAAATTCTCACCCCTGCAGAAATTCTTCGGGCTCGCGAAAAGTACCTCGAGAAAAACAGACGCGCAGCACGGAAATGTCGACTTAAGAAGAAAGCCGAGATGACCGCTGATCAAGAAAGATATGAGCGTTGTGTTGCCGAAATTAATGCTACCAAAACTAAGTTGTTGGAAAGTCGGAGGGAACTGCTAAATTTGATTGAAATTTGTAAGGGAATGGTAAGGGAGGGATGCAATGATGCGACCATCAGGAAATTCGTGGCGAATTGGGAGAGAAGGGAAGAGGCTTATAGGGGAATGCTTGAGAGCACGGATGTGGGAGTTGAGGCTTGGAAGTTGATCGAGAAGTGTAGGAGTGCAAGATTAGGAGAGGGAGCCTTGGGGGATGCCGTGGATTTGGAAGGAGATAGGGAAGGGCTTGTGTGTGGTGCAAATCTTTGGGAAGAGGGGAACGAAGCGATTTTCGATCAAGTAGATTGTGATGGGGACCCGGGAACGACAGAAAAATTTGGAAATCAAACCTACGGTGCTTCGGCAAATATGGGATGTGACGAATCAAATTCGTTTGGTTCTCTTCAATGCTCACCTTTAATACCGCAAACACAATTGTATGAACAACAATTAAATCAGCAGCAGCACCGACCGCCAGATCTGAAATGGCATGAAATGATGACCTCTTTACAACAAGGCTATGCTCTTGATCCTATTACAGCTGTTCCAAACCACAATGAGAACGGGAAGTTTCTTTTCCAGAAGCTCTTAGATCAAGTTAATAGATCAAGGAGTACTCCTGTACCTATGAATACTCTGATCTCACCCTTGTTTCAACAGCAAGAAGACATTGTTCCCACCACAGAAGAATCATCCATGTCTACGCCAGTTGATCTCGCCTCTATATCATCTCTAAACAGTAACCCAGCTCAAGTCGAAGCTCGCCCACGACCACGAGTCCACCATTTGCAACGACGACCAAATTGCTACATAACGACATCAGAAATACGTCAACAAAGCTTCGATAGCGGCTACGGATCCTTCTCCTCCGCATCATCTTCTCAGAAAAATTCAGCACCTCCTTCTCAAACTTCAGATATCAATGCGAATTGTTGGTCTCCAGATTTAGCTCCCGCATGCCTTGGCAGTGTTGATATTGTTGATATTCAGTCACCACTACTATCCGATCAAGTAACGGACACGTGTCTGGATTTAATACCTGAGAGCCAAATGGGAATCGCAGACGGAGGGAATTCTCTATCTCTAAACTCGACCGCGAACCTACTTCCAAATTAACTTTGGCGGATGGAAGAAAAGTCTAAAAATAACTGTGGATTCAAGTTCTTTTATTTCCTTAAAAATCTCTCGAGTACCAAGAACTGCGCATGTAAATATGAATGCGCGTATGCATGCATGTATGTAATTAAGATATATAAGCGCGCGATACCCCGTGGTGGCAGAAAAAGTAGTTAATGAAGTGACAATTTCGTCACATTCCTATAATATTAGTCTTGTGTAATTTCTCAGAAATTTGTTGTACATAATGATAAAAAAATCATTGAACGGAGTCTAATCATACAATACATTGGGTCGTATTAGGAATCGGGTAGCTATGAGAGCTAAATAGGCTTTCTATAATACTTCTTTGATCAATCGAATCATAACTTCGTCAACTGGTTTCAACTTCGCGATACGTAATACCAAAAAATGTTTTCATCTCACTAGAATATTTTATCTCCCATACCAATGATGAATTTTGTTCTTCCTATCATTGATTAGACGATCCAGCCCCTCGGTTCCCCTAAAACTCGCTCGCTCGCTCGCTTGAAAGATATGCTATCTCGTCAAGAGTTCAAGACCCACTTTTCTGGGGCTGGCTTTTAGGGGTTGAAGGTTGGTTGGTTGATTGATTTGGAGATGGATGGGTTGAGGATGGTTGGGTATGAAGGGGAGGGTAATGAGGGCTTATATTTGGAAGATGGAAGATTTGGGGAATCTAAGATGGGAGATGTGAAAATTTGGGTTGGGTAGGAGAATTGTTGTAATGGTGGTTGAGGTGGCTTAATTGGGTAGTGTTGGATTTGGAAAAATTCGAATGCTTTAGTTTCGTTTGAGGGAGGGGAGAGAGAGAGGACTGAGTGTTTAGATAGTAGAAATCGTGGAAATTTATCGGGAGGAGTTGGATTTTTTGAGTTCGTTTGTATATAATCTTACATGATGGGGATATGAGATACAGTTGGTGATCTGTGTGTATCTTGGAATATGAAAATACTTCCAATATCGTATGATTTGATTAGCAAGACTTAAGGACGGCAAGTGCAACCTGAATATCTATATTCATTCCTTATTGGAACAAGTGAAACATCTTTATTCATTGAAAATAGTGTTCATACCCAAGTAAGGACAAAAGTACAAGAATATCCTGGTCTTGCATCTCTCTCAGACTCGTTGTGTTTAATTGGAAATTCTAGAGATAGTAATACCATTAGTTAAAACTGCTTTTTAATTCAAGATCATGGCGAGATCTTAAAATAATCACGCAGAAAAGTGTTTCTTTGAAAAATTCAAGACTAGTCATCCCCGATTCTGAGAAGTGGCTCCTAAATCTCTTAGAGACATCACATCGAGCTGATTAACCCGTGAAATTCTAGATACACTCTCATACAAAGCAAGGCATTCACCAGTGGGTGCACGGATTCACGGGACAACGTGACAGGAAAGCACAATTTCATACCAAAAAGAGTGATTTTAATAATTCAATTAAAATTCAATATACAATTGAATTCTTTCGAAATTGATATGTATAGCTCTTTAAGTATTAAAAAATTGGTTGTTTAAAAATGCTTGAGATTAAACGCGATTTGAGCTCAAAATACAAATAGTGCGTTTTCCCACCAAAATTTTTGATGGGGAATTATATTTTTTTTTATAAAAATATCAATATTGATTTTTTCAATTCAATTTTGAATCGATATAGAATCTTTATGCTTTAGATCTATATATTTAATTTTCAAATAAAGTTATTGAGATTTTGAATTTTATTCGAATTATTAAAATCGCTCTTTTTGGTGTGAAATTGTGCTTTCCCTCTTGAGTGTCCCGTGAGTCCGTGCACCCACTGGTGATTCAATAATCCGGACTAATAGAAAAGTTTGAACACAAAATTTCTGATGACAATCAAACGTCAAGCCTAAATTCAATATTTGAAGTGATTTGAACATTGTGAATGAGAAGCTTGCAAGTACCAGAATTTCTGAAATGGTTTCAATGATAATAGAACTGCCATCCGGAAATCTAATCCTACACCACAACATCCACAACTTAATTCTCACCAGTACGTAATTTGCGAAGTTATCTCTGCGATTTTGCATCTTCATATAGCTCTTACAATAATACCATTGACTCACATATTTTCGCTATCTACAGACTCAAAAGCGACATCGCATCCAACTTGTCAAGTGCACTTCAAGACGATCTTCCTTCCAGGATAGACATACATACTAAATTGAGATCAAAGTAAAGAAAAGGAACCCTAAGAATAATCTCTTTAATATTTGACGAAAAAGATGTTGAATATATTTATAACTTTTGTTAAATATAATTATCTTATAAATGAATATTAATCGTATTTAAACTATAATACTTTTATATTATTTTGTATGAATTATAATATCTTAACTTAATAGAGAACTCCATACATAATAATTGATTATTTCTTTGAATATATCAAAATTCCTTTTTTATATAACTATAAAAATATATTGAATGAAAAGTATTAATCAGAAATTCAAAACTCCCATACGATTTATTAACTCTGGGAAATCCTAAATCAATTTAACGGTATCATTATACTCGAACTTCTTCCACAATTCTGCTTGTAAGCCCCTCAGGTCTTTAGCCCACATAGCCGCAAACAAATCTTTGAACCAACCTTTTCGATGACTAGTAAGACCGAGATCCTTCAAAAGCGTATCTATATGACCAATGAAATCGAAGATCAAATTATTTCCTTCCTGGCCATTGCTCAGATAGCGACGTCGAGACCACGCTGTAAACAGAGTAATATCTTTTTCTTGCTCCTTTTTACACGGCAAGTCCAACTTCCCATCCAAATATGTTACTGCCCAAAGTGATTGACACTCCAAGGTAGTAAAATAATTTCCTACCACAATTTGGCCTAGGAAAACAATTGAGCGGTCATCTTTCTCACTGCTAGAAGACTCCGATATAGGAACCATATGTCGGTATAAACGGTATGGAGTATGGGTTGCAGTCTTTTGGTAATGATCAGGAGGACTTTGGAGGTGGGGAAAGGTAGCAAGGACTTGGACATCTGCTTCCGCCTCCAGTTTCGCCCAGTGAGCATGTTCATCTTTTGCTTCTTCATGGTCTAAAATATGAGGTAAACCAAATTCTTGACATTGCGCTTGTGTGAAGTATTGCAGCGAAGGCACCCAGCCTGTACCGCATAAGATAGCATCGGAGGGTATTTCCTCGCCGGTTTTGAGAAGGAGACTGTTGCTCTTTAAATCTTCAATATCTCCAACAAAGATACGAACATTTTCGGCAACGATGTCAAAAAAGTCTGCGTGGTTGAGAAGTCCAGCGGCGCAATTTTGCCAGAAAAGACTGTTCCAAATGTCAATGAAGGAAGGGCTCCTGTGAAAGGTTCAAGAAACTTACGGCGAGCTCGACTCTAACTTGTCAAAGTTTTGTAGGCATTTTCGTTGGAAATTTGCAGACTTTCGCGCATCCGCATCTACGGTCCCCCAAAAGCCTTTCATCATCTTTACACCATATTCGGATGAGTGGAGAAGTTTCGTCCATCTATTCATTCCATTCAGAAACGAAGGTGTAAATGTAGCTGCTATTCTTGTTAAGCTTATTTCGAATGCATTTTTATAAGGCCCTTTTCCATCTGGAGAAACAAAGAAGCCTGGACCCGTCGTATTTGTAGCTTTTAGAACCCATGATACTTGTTTTCCAGCCTTCACTGCTTCGTAAACCATGTCTGCAGACGATTTTCCAGCTCCAAGAATAGTAATATTCTGTTTTGGGGAGGTCAAAAGGTCAGACGAACCAAAGTCTTCATGATGGAGTATTTGACCTTCAAAACTTTCTTTTCCCGGCAATGAAGGCATATTTGGGATTGAAGTCAAACCACTTGCAACTATTAGTTTCGGGGTTTTGAAAGTGTGTTGCTGCTGCTCGTTGCCTCGATCGCTGGCCAAGACAGTCCAATAACCATCCTTTTTGGAAACTGATCTAACTTCGACCGAGAATTGAATCCTGTCACGAAGACTTTTGCCATCGTATTTATGTGTATCAATATAACTTTCCAGATATTTTGTTGTATGCTTAGCCTTGAAAAATTCTTTGTAAAGGTCTTCGTCCGGTGGTCTCGACATTTCTTGGTCTGAGAACTCGGCTGTTCCTACCATCCATTGGGTCCAGAAACTATCGTAACCTCTTCCTGCAATCGACTCAAATTAGCATCCCACCATGGAGAATGGAAACGATGAAAATGAAACTAACGCGCATTCCAGGTTCCACCGACGCAAGTGTCTCTATCAATGATTACCAATCGGGCTTCTGGATGAAACTCCAAAAAATGCTTGCTTGCACAAATGCCGGAAATTCCTTTTTGGATGCAAAAATTAGTGACAGAATCAAATGCGAATGTGTAAGCTTTATTTAGCCTGTTGTATTTACCTGCACCGATTACGAGAATGTCCACCTCAACAAAGTCGCTCATGATGCTTACTAATAATCAATCGACGTAAAGAATAGTCTTAATTTTTTTCTGAGCTCAAACATTCACTGTACGAAAAGGGGAACTCATGAGAGTACCTAGGTAGGTAGTTATATCTATCTCGTGGCTGGTTTGCGGCAAAGTAATGTCAAAATTCAGGAAGGGTAGTAAGACGGAAATAAAGACGGCTACCTATTTATGGTCAATACTACCTACCTAGCAAACCTGGAATGAATCGATAATGGCAATCATTATCTAGAAGAGGAATTTTCATGTCTTGCGGGCAAATCCATGGATGTAGTAGCATGTAGTGGTCCATGCATCATGCATGGAATTTGGCTGACAGGACAGGTTGCGTATATGGCAACATGGCAACACTCATCCAACACATATTTCATACCCCGGCAATACACCCGGTTTGATAACTAGCGTCCAAAACCACACACAGACCTCATGCTCCGGGTTGATGCCTCATTTCATCAGACCATAGGTAGCTTTTAGAAGATCAATGAGGCTCCCCCAAACAATGGCAGCGACACTAGCGAAGGTCCTGTCGTTGGGGGAAAAAATAATTGCGATACCTCTTTCTGAGTATTTGACAGGCTGGCAGGCTACAGCAGTTGGCATATCTATCATTCCAAGCATGTTTTCGGTTAGTGATCAATTATACCCTAAAATTACAGTCACAGCCGCTGATCTCCTTTGAAGGGGTGTCGTTAGATTTGGTGAGATTGTAAGGTCCGGAAGGTACTAATCGTCGGCGCTCTCTCAATCAACCAACTATTAACTAGGCAGCTGGTGCCTCAGTTTCGTTGGTTGGTAAGTCATGGGAGGTAAGGTTATATCACTGGGTACTGACTTGGAAGGAGACTCTTTGCTAGATCGAATAGAATCCAGGCAACTAATTAATAGCTGATATGTTGAGCACAAGGCTCTATGACTACAAAACCACAACAATTTCATTGAAGAACATCATCTCACCACAAAACCCTCTACGGCCTTATTTTAGAACTAATAATTATGTAGTACTGCAATAGTATTATTATATGCGAGTATGTGGAGAAAAGAGACAATTTTAATCGTGGGCGTGGAAAAGAACTGCGAGGAAGAATCATCGTTTCGATCCAAAACTCGACCTGTTGGCTCTACAAGAATGCCTCCGTCTGTTTACCACACCAGTCCATAAATTTGGCTGATATGCCCGATTCTCCAGTAATCGAACTCTCGATACCACTGGGAAGACTGCCAAATCTTCCCCAAGGATATATGTAAGCACCACTCTTCGCAGGTGTTATCTCAGGGGAAATGGCTGCCCAGAGCTCTGTGTACGCTCCATAAACTGGAGGATACACTATAAATTTATCCTGCAATCGCATATTTGTCAGTATGTACATGAGTAACAATATCGAGAAGTTCCGTTGCTCACAGTTATCTTGCTGGCGAGACCAGTCCAATGACGTTGTAGTTCCGTGCGCAGATTACCTGGATTGAAAGCCGTGTGTACAACGCCTGTTTGCGGAGTAGTCTTGGCACACTCTCGAGCCAGGAAGACGTTACCAACTTTAGTCTGGCTGTAGTTGGCTGACACGCCAACATCCTTAAGACTGCCATCATCGTTGATAAGTATTCCTGTTGGTGGGGAGTCGACATGGATGGCAATAGACGCAGCCCATGCGACGCGCACGCTACCTGTTGGAGAGGAGGCCACGGTATCTGTAAGGAGAGGAAGGAGTAGTTGGTAAAGTAGGTAGTGACCTAGGCAGTTGGTCGCTACCTGCAACTCGTGTCCTTGTGCACTAGTGCTCCCTTTAGGAGGATACATGACCTAAAAGTTCACAAACGTACGACATGAGCAAGTTGCGTGCGTGTGTAAAGCATGTATGGGGGTTCAGGGAAAGAAGTACATACACCGGCATTGTTGACGAGGACGTCAAGACGTTGTTGCTGGGAAGTAAAATGCTTGACCGCAGGATTAATCGAGGATAGATCAGCCAGGTCAATTTGCAGAAACTGAATGCTACCGCTACTCTTAGGAGATGCTTCTTTGATTATGGATATGGCATTTTGGGCTTTGGATTCCGAGCGGCCTGCAATCCAAACAGTTGCGTTGTGGGCATAAAGAATTTTACATAATTGAAAACCGACGCCTGCATAACCACCTGTTACAAGAAAAATCTGAATAAACAATCGCGCGTGTTAGAAGGGCATCCAAGATGTGAAAAGGAAAGATAAGGCTCTACATACCCGGCCTGTTTGATCGGGAGTATTCTTCTCCGTGAGCGACGCCGATGGAATGAAATAGAACTGGCTGAAAATATTGCCCATAATGTTGGTAGAATAACAGCTTTTGATAAATTGTTTATCAGGTTCAAGGCGTTACGAGAAGCTTTTCATTAGAACTAGTTGATGGAGTTCATCTTCATACTTCTACTCTTGCATCCGCCCGCGCGCCCCTGGCTAGTTCCCCTTCTTCAATAGTAGCCTGTAGCTTATATTACAGTACTCGTGCGGCCAGAAAGTATGCACATCCTGTCTCAATAGGATTAAGCCACTGTGGGGAAGATTTTTAATGCTTAAAAGGAATATAAGTTATTGAAATTTGTATTGAAAGTAGTAGGGCTTCAATATAAGCGAGCGATTTAATTGATTCAATTTTTCAAATCTTCATTTAATATAGTGGGATTAAAAAAAGCAGTGGATTCTATTGATTCATTGAAGCCGATATAGCGTATTTAACGCTGGAGTTACATACTTTCTGGCAGTACGAGTAGTCTTTAGTTTATATAGCAGCAGCAGGCATATTGTATTGCTATCGACATGGTTCAACGAAAACCCCTGACTTCCTTGGCATGCGCCATGCTCAAGCGTCGGACCCAGCTCGGGCTTCCACATTTTGTGTCCACTATAACTGCCTGTGAACAGCCCTTTGGTTAGTTCTAGACAAAGCAATGAAGATTTCAAGGCTGAACAAGCAATGGGGTTTGCTAAATTTTCTGTTCATGGCACTTCATATGGCAGAGCAAAAGTCATCCTCTCCGCGGTTAAGCATTGCGCGACCTATTGATATACGTAGCTTCTCACTAAATTACACCTTCCTAAAATATCTAAAAACCACTCCCAACATCATTCTATGCCAGCTGTTCGCCAACTACACGAGTAAACACAACGGCAAAATAAGGTTATCATATCAACAAACACTACGCAGAATTTCCGTTCCAACAACATCCCAGCTGTTTCCCCTTTCTCTTGAAGTAGTTTTGATAAAGAAACGCTAAATCTATATCTGTGCATACAAAGTCTCGTCACATCATTAGATCTGGAAGAGTGTGTCGAATTCATATAGGTAGTGCTTACGTTGGTAACGACTACCACCCTGATAAGATTAGCCACCGATCAACCCCACCAACCCCCAATCCTCAACCCCTCCACATATACGACACGAAATGCACTGGCCCCTACAAGCAAACGCCGCACACATACATGCATAAATCCCTACTCAATAGTTCCTCGTTCGTTTCCCTAATGCAATGCTTTTAATCATGAAACAAGGATAAATGGTGAGGTTTTCGACTTCCGCTCCAATTGCAGTGAAGTAACTTAACCTGACCAGGGCCTGTCCAGTGCTATAGAAATTGAAGAGACACCTTAGTCTAGCGTGTGCATTGACCCTCGAGGGCGTTCGGTCACATGATTTTTAATAGCTCCGCCAGGAGGGTCTAGTCGGCCGTTTCCTAAATATGACTTTTCAGCCGGATTTTAGTCTTCATTTTGAACTTCAATTGAATACCAATCCACTAGCAATAGAGATAGCTTAATAAAACTTATATAGAATTAAAGCCCTATTAATTCTCTTTTGAAATAATAAGGAATTATTAATTTAATCCAATTTCTGATAAAGTTAGGAATCAATTAATAAAATAATTTCGATGCCGCAATAGTGTGACGATTGCATCATTTAGAATACTAAGGTGAAGAGCTAGAAGAGCTCTTCGGAAGGAAGTGGTAATATACAGGATTGTGGATCACGTAAGGACCTAGCCAATCCATTAATATAACAGAATCGTTATACTACCCCCCCCTTCTGAAAAACTTGCCCTTAAGTGTATTAATAATATTCTAAATACAGTTCTCTAATCTAATTATATTATAATCTATATTCTCTATTACTATTAATATCTGATCTATAGTTTTAATATTAGTTTCAATATTATCTATAATATAATTTATAGCATCATCGATCGCTTTGCGGAAATATACGTTTGCGATTTTATTACTTTTGCAAAAAAAGCTTCAAAATCAATAGAAAAAGGTTTCGAGAATTGTTAAAAATAAAATGAATGAAAAAAAGGAGATCTACTTGAAATACATTTCTTATTAGTAATACCAATAAAGCAGCGAAAGTATTAATAGAATGCGAATTAGCCTAATAAATCAACTAAATAAGCTGTTTCATTATGGTATCGATTATATAAGTATATTGATATTTCGAATCGATTAGTTTCTGTAATTTGCATACTAGGTTCAGGATCTTTGGATTTATTGTTGATAAAGCAAGGAAACTCTAAATAATATAATAGTAAAGTATTAGCTTGTTGGTAGATAAGGTTTGCGGGAATGGAGCTAGGGAGAGGTCTTGATCAGAGATCGTACGAATAGTTGTATCAGGGGAGTGGGCGTAGAAGGCAATAGGTATTCAGCAAACGGGCTAGCGATAGAAAGCTTTGCAGGAGCGATCAAGAGCTTAAAAAATTTATATAACCTTAATATAATATAACAATTGTATCATTTAGAATATTAAGGTAAAGAGCTAGAAGAGCTCTTCGAAAGGAAATGGTAATATACAGGATTGTGGATCACGTGAGGACCTAGCCGATCCACTAATATGACAGGATCGTCACAAATAGCAAGCGAAATATCACTTTTTAACCCCCTTTTATTTTAATATTTTTGATGACCTTCAATATAATCTTATGAAAATTTGACCTCATACTATTTTATTTTCAAAGAATCTTCTATCTAATTTTGAAATTCTAAAATTCAAAATTAAAAGATGTATTTTTTGATTAACAAAAAAATAGATAAATATAAATCCTCATTATAAAGATTTCAATCATTCAATTAGCAAAATGATAAAATATTATATATCGATCTAAACTATACTAACTCTCCCTATTCATCAAAATTTTCAGATTATTTTTAAATATTTTATTTCGAAAGTTATAAAGATAATATTATTAAAATCCGGCTAGACAGGCATATTTAGGAAACGGCCGACTAGACCCTCTGGGAGGACCTCGCGTATATCAGCCAATCAAAAGAGCGGAAGCTTCAGAAGTGGGTCGATGTACACACTAGACTAGAGATACCTTGATACAAGCAAGCGCGCTGTCCGACGATTATGTAAGCGAATCTCATCTCATCCGCTTACTTGTGTGTTTCCGATCAAAAGCTTGGCGGGTCATCGAACAAGCCTTCGCAAATACCGTAGATGAGTCGCTGAAGCGTAGCGTCTCCATAGGGGATGAAGGGAGGGAGGTTCTGGGAAGCTCTCACGTTGCCTTCTTTCTACACTACATAAAGATGACCTATGAGTACTAGTTACAACCAGGTCACATGACCAACACTTGTTTTTGCACAGTAACTGCGGCTCAACGACTAAATTAAGTTTGCGAATGTCCATTCTGCCATTTCAATGGAAACGATCCGAGGAAAGATGAAATGAATGAATAAATGATAAGTATATTGATTTCTACCAATTTTTTCTATTCAGTGTTGGGATCTCTATGGAGGAAACGTCCCGATCTTTATATTCATCCCTTTCCAGACATATTGTGTTGAATTGTGCTCTCTTCGTCATCAAAATAGGCAAAGCAGGCTGAATCCAACCATTATAGATTTGTTGACCCTCCGCCCAGTTTTGGGTGCCTTCACCCAATTCCAGATCAAAACGCCATATTAGATGCGCGAGTGTGAGTTTATTTCCTATCCAGAGAAACCCTTGAGTTCTCACATATAATCTCAAAATGCCCCAGAGTCGACAGCCAATCATATGGGGGTTGGGCATCTCTTTCTCCATCATTGCTATTGCGGCTGTCGTGCTTCGATTTTGGGCTCGCCGAATCAAAGGCCAAAACTTGGGATCTGATGACTGGACCATTCTGGTGGCTCTGGTAAGATATCCTACCATCTCAATCATCTATGTTATTTTCTAACCAACGGGGAGGTGGTAGATACTCGGGCTTTCTGTAACAATAGACATGCTTATTAGTAAGCCATAATATGAGCCCCTCTGTTCATCAGTGTTCTGACAGGTTGTAACTCATCAGTGACCCAGCTCGGCGGTCTTGGTAGTCACTCAGAGTTCAATGCCGATGGAACCCCTCTCAATCCTAAGGCTGCTATAGTCCTCGCTAAGGTACGTAACACTCGCGATCTAGACAAGCTATATGTTATAAGATAACTAAATTTACTTGGACAGACAATATACGCGCTTGAGGTACTTACATGGCCTGCGGTGGGAATGACTAAAATCAGCGTTCTTCTGATGTACAAACGTATTTTTAGCACTCCAAGATTCCAGATAGTGACCTGGATAATGATCGGAGTCAACGTCGCCTGGATCTTAACATTTACATTTGCGCTTATGTGTATGTCTTCTCCTTGACAATGGTTTTTATCTTATACTCAGTTAACATATAGTCTCGTGCTTGCCAATTGCGGGGCCATGGACGGGGACAGAGTATAAATGTGTCAATCAAGAGATTCTATTTACCGTCGCTTTGGCGACAGATGTCGCCACAGACTGCAAGTCATTCTGTGTCTCGACCGAACAAGAAACTCACTCGTGTGCTAGTTTTGGTACTATTCTTACCGGCATATGAAGTTAAGAAGTTACAGATGCCTCTTTCACGAAAGATCCTAATCATAGGCATCTTCTGTCTGGGTGGTTTGGTTAGCATCGTCGGCGTCGTTCGAATTCACTTTTTAACCACAATCTATTTCTTCCTATATTCCAGTCATACCCAGCCGGATATCACATGTATGTTTCTTCTTACAATGAAGCTAAATTGAGGCCAGATCATAGCAAGTTAACATATTTATTAGGGCTCTATGCGCCAACCTACTACTGGACCATCATTGAAACCAATGTCGGTGTCTTAAGCGCACGTCTTCCCACACTCCGTCCAATCCTAGAGCGTGTCACATATAGCCGCCAATTTTCACAACTTACCCATCTTTTCTCCTCATCGAGCACTAAGACAGGTGATATCCGTCTTGGTTCCGTTGAAGACTTAAATTCGAACAAGAGACCCAGTGAAAGGGTCAGCTCCGTGTAAATTGTCATTTCGTTGTTTACAGGTCTTGTTTTTGTATGGGAATTGAACCCACATATCTCATCCTGTAGATGTGACAACATGTTATCTCTAGTAGATTAAAAATAATCAAGTTATGCTTTCTGAATATCACAGTTATCAATAGTTATGAAGTGCTTGCCGCTTACCAGACAAACAAAGGGCAAAATTAAGATAATTTAATTAATTTTGTTATTTCTAATTATCACTAATATAGATCTATTATAAAGAGAATTAAATTATATCTTAGACATTCACATAATATATAAATATATGGTCTAGGTATTAATAAACAAAATTGTTACATCTATATGTCGATTTTAAATCTGCATATTATATTGACCTAGAGTTATAGTTATAATAAGAAATAAATCAATTGAATTTATAGTATAGTTTATTATTAAATTAAAGAGAGCTTGAATATAGTTATACTATTTATGAGATATAATCATCTTATAAATTAACATTAGCATCAATTAGGCTATAGCACTAATACTGCGGAAAAACTGACTACTTTCAATAATATATATCAGGATGTAGATTTCCTACCTTTCTACCTACTCTTCGGAGTGCGCATTAAACCTTAATCTATGTTGTAGTGCCGTATTCCTGCCAATCAGTCCATTCAGTACCTACTGAACACCTTTTACAACAAACAGGGGAACTTCAGATTTTGATGTGAAAACTATCTTTCCTTTGATATCCTTAACAATGCAACAATTCTTACTCAGCCCAGTCTGGTATCGATATGCTACTTATGGGAACCCCCTGAGAGCCAATTGTTCTTCATTCATGAGCATACCCTCTTGTTTTCATTTGCGAAGCTACCATCTTTTGCAACGCATAGTATCCTCTTCATATCAACATGTGCAATGCTCATTAGACTTCCTTCCATATTTCCCCTAACTCTCCCTTTCCATGCAATCTCAATTGGTTGGTGGCGAGCGATATTCCAGATGTGTAGAACCCATTGCGGAGATGCAAAGTCAAGAGACATTGTTTACCAGACCTATAGGATTCTTGTAATCATAGTACTAACGTCGGTCTAGTAACCAACGTGGTATAATACCGTCATGTCAGTCTGTTGTTTCAACGTACATCAACAAGATGGCATATAATGTTCCGATAGCTGAATTAGCTTTCTCGCATTCCTATTCCATTCTTTTCGTCATTGATCCCCATAACCAAGCAATTTCAAGAGTCACTGTGTTGAAAATGAATCATTTTCCACCCAGTGCTTCAAATTTCCTGGATTAAAGTCATAATGTAATGTGCCCCATTAAATTTCTTTCTTTCAACAATTGCTCTCCAGAGACCTTTTCCAATATCATAATACCTGATGGTATGAAACAGACTGGCCAGCTGGTTCAGAAAGATGTCAGACTGGTAGCATTAATAGCCATCATATAGCAAATCTAAGATGTCTTTTTCTAAGGCTGATACATACCGCCAAGTGACTCGATTCAGTTGAGGTGGTCAGCGCTCTCAGACATTCTAATTCTAGCTCTGTTGCTATTTCTTTGTTCCGTCAAACTGTCATTCACCAAAAATAACGATTTTTGTCTCAAACTCCACCAAATGGTACGCCACAGTCTAGCTTTGAGATTCTTCACAACTCCACTCACTGTCTTTTAAATTATAAAGCATCAGATTAAAAGACAACTCTTGTTTCCAGATCTTAAAATGTCCACACCTTCATTAAATTGTGCTCAGATTCCTTTGTATCAATGTTTTGAAATAAAACCAATTGACTTAGAAGAGTTCTGCATCGTGAGTTATGACGCTTGCGTTTTTTCTCTTCATGACATATATATCGCTCAAGACTAACTGTTCATTAGATGTACAGACCAGCAGTTTCAACCTCAATCAGAACAACAGTAGAAACGACATTCATCGATACGTTCTCTACAAGGGCACCTAGAACAATCAATCAGTCGCTGAAAAAGCTTCATATACGTCCTAGAAGTAAGTTCAATGAATCCTGGTACACAACTATATTTTCTTGTATACCAAGTTGAAAGTCATTCAGCTGTAAATTCTTATTCATGTTCTCAATAAACCTCTTTCTCCATCATACTAACATTAAATTAGCTCGCAATCCACGCGTTGTATATATCAGCATTACTGTATACTTCCTCCCCGCCGAAGCAGTAAACCACCAGATCTTTATCTACAAAAATGGACGGATTACCTTGTTACGTCTGTCATACAAGTAATCCATCGCCAGCCAAGCTTTGTGAATGGTGCAAAGCTGTCCTCCCAGCTCATGAAACCATCGAACGCATCATCATTCAACGTGGAGGAGCCCAGAGAGTCGCAAATGTAACGCATGAAGGGCGTGTGCCGTTGTGGATGCATGAATCAAGATCCAATCAGGATCAAAATGGGAATGAGCAGGATAAATGGCCCATGTGTATGGTGGTTCAGATTGAGGTTTTTGGTATGAAATGTTTGGTCGTGATTAGTGAGGATCCTACGCAGGGTGTGAAACTCTCTGCCATACGCGATCTTACATATCCAGAGCTCAAGGAAAAGGTGGAGACTGTTCAGTTGGCCTATTAGTACAATAAGCTTAGTTGGAGGACAATAATTGAGAAACGATGGAACAAACAGGAAAACGGAAGCAAGAAAAGGGGAAGATTTGTGAATTAGTAAGGATTACGAGATGACACGGAATTGAGAGATAGAGGAGAAATAAAGGAGACGCTGAGATGGCGAGGGAGATCTTAGAGATGGATAGAGTAGGAAATAGTAGGATAAGACGAAATAAGAAGGGATAGAAGAAAGTCGAAAAAAAAAAATACTTGGAAATACCTGGGGAGAGTGGGATAAAGAGAGATAAAGAGAATCAGAACTTTGAGAGATGGAGATAAATCACGAGGGACATTGTATAATAAGTTAATAAATGAATTTTACCACATTATCAATCGAAAATAAAATTATTCATACATCATCTCCCGTCTTTAACTTTTCTTTCCCTCTAGACTTAATGTTTTGAGAGCTGCCGAAGCCTCGTCTTCCTTCTCAGCCGCCTTTTTCTGACGCATCTCACGCTGACGAATAGTTTCTGCAAATCCCCACCTTGACTCCTCAATGTAGCGACGATAATTTGTACATGCCATCAATTCATCTCGATCATGGTACTCCATTACTCCGGTTTTCTCTGGTTTATAATCATGGTAACAGTTTTGATAGTGGTCCACGATTTTTACTTCCTCCTCCGGCCAAGGCCCAATTTGCTCTTTCCATTCCTCCCTCAAATGACGGGCCCATGAGCCTGGTTGGACCATTCTAGTTGCTACCGCCTCCCACCATTCCGGAAGATACCCCCCAGATTCCCAATCGATGATACCGGTAACATGTCCATCTTTTACCATGATATTGGTCGCATGCAGATCACCATGTGTCAGCACGTATGGTCCTTTTACAGGATATCGGTCTTTGATGTTTTGACGAAATCGAACGTGTGTCTCTTTGAATCGATGTTCCGTACGAGCCCACCATTCTTCAACATCTTCCGTCACGAAATGTATCCTCTCATCAGGGCCTAGTTGTACATCTCTTATTGGTGAACCATCTGGAGCTTCTGGTTTTGTCGATGTAAACGTGCGCAATTGCTTAAGATATTGGACGACTTCTTTGGCAATAGCTTTTACCTCTTCATAGCTCATGTGCATCCCAGCTGACCATAGCGATTCGCCCGGAATTTTCTCCATCAAGCAGAAAAGACTTTTACTGTCCTTCCACTGTCGCATGTCTTTTCCTACAGGTATCGTGGAATTCTCGCTCAGAAATTTGGAAATTGAAACATCAGGCCCTACATATCTGGCACTCGCATTTCCCAAAATAGGTCTTTCTTTCAAAATGTAGTTGTCGCCAATAGTCCATACACCTCTACTAGCAATACACCTGGTGCATTTGATATGACTAAAGTAGAAACTATGTTCCTGGCTATCTGCTTTCCATCCGCAGTTGTGACACAACAAAAAATCATTCCTTTTGGGCACATGGGCGTCAAACTCTTCTTTCGTATTGCCTTCGAATGGCTTGTATATCGTCATCTTGTCTAGATATACCGTCATCTTGTCCGGATAGATTTGAACTTTGAACTTCGATCTCAAAATTGAAGATAAGGGCTAGATAATTGATAATACGAGATAGTAGAGCGAATCTAGAATAACTTGCGCAGGGAATGGATTTTTTGGGACAATTCTCGGATCTGATTTGATCGAGAAAATGCCATATAAGTAGACTGTTGAAAGCAAGGAAAAATAATACTCGATGATCAGGAGGGGTTTTGTGAACATCTCGATTGAAAGCAATACTAGATTCGGGTTACCTTTACAGATGACTTTCTTTATCAAATACAACAAATTCCACATGAAAGAAGAGAATGAGTTTTCGATAACATACTGAATTAAATACAAGAAAGATCAAGAATAGAACTATACCACATCCGAAGAGTCTTTTATCATGATTTTCTTTATCATAGATATGGAGAATCTCGTACAACAAAAGAAATACGTTCTAACCACCCGACTTCAGGTTCGGACTATACTAAACGTAGACGCGCTTGATAACGACCATCTAGATCCAGGAAAAAGACGTGGGAAGCAACTTTAATCCATGAAACTCAAATGTTGTATCAGTTGATCATTCAATTCCTGGACAGATATGTGCCAATCAATTTTCTAAGACACTTGACACTCCAAGGAAGATCTAACAAAGACTTATGGAATTGAGATTAGTACACACTCAGGCGAGTTGTTGGGTACATTCCAGAGATTAATGGATTATGAGAGGCGGAAGACGAATAAGAGTAACGATTAATGATTGGAATTCGGTGTAGAGAAGGTTTCGAGTGTGTTCAACAAGTGAATGCATGAGTTGAGAGAACACTTCGACCTCCACCTTCACACCGACCATTATAAAGCGCAAAAAATAGGCTTCAAAATAAGCGATCGATCGATCGATCAAATAAACACATTCTAATATTGATAACCATTCAGGGAAATACCTGACTCCAGTCAATTCCAATGCACGCTACGGAAGATGCCTTCAATTATTTATATGTATTAACATAGTATAGAAGGCTTCAGAAAAAGCGGCTATAGGAACAACTTATGCTACTCTAAGAATGAGCCTCGATGAGAGTATATAAAGTCTCTCGTACTTCTGAATAGCTTCAACTGAGAGTCAACAGATAGTAAGATCTTACAATCATAATAAGCATATCATGAAGGCTTCATACTTGTCACCAAATTAATATAACAGAGTCAGACCAGAGGCTTTTCTCCCCGTCATACATTATGCCCTCTCCGCTAGTACAATCAATCAAAATACACGTACTATTCTAGCTTGACGTGAAACTTCTTGTCGTCTTACTACTATAGATAAACATTGAAAGGGTGTTGAGCAAAAAGTCCTCTCCACTCCCCTTTCACAAGCGCAAATTAAATACGCAAACTCTCCCTCACGCAACGATGGACAATGAACGATATAAAGAGAACTGAAACCTGCTTTGATATTTATGTTGCCTCAACTGAAGACTGTTTTGATTCAACTACTTCAACTCTCGATCGATCATTTTGTTTGATTGTGTGTCATTTTTGTTTCCGATTCCTTGCTTACCTCGTTTCCGAGCATTTTCCCTCGGAAAAAGTGGACGGCTCTAATGAATTTGATATAAAGGTACTTGATGAATATACAGATAACTATCTCCCTGGACCCCGCGCACATTGAAGCCTTACCTTGGGAAATATTTCCACACACAAGTTTCGTTTTTCATTTTACAATTTCTAGAAAACTATAAGAAACTAGAAGTGTATAGAGATCTATCAGTCTCGGTCCTAAGCAGATGACAATATATCAGACGAAGTCAATTCCGGGACAAGAAGAGCTGGCTTCGCAAAGTATCAACGGATATTAGAAGGGGGCTTTGAATCAAACTACAGCGATCATGATAGAGTTTCCAGCAGGAGGTCTCGTTTTCAGTAGTACAAAGAATGCTATCAATGAACAAGCTTAGTCCAAAAGGGAGAGCCCCAGTGATCTTTCTTTATCAGTCAGGAAAAGCTAGTAAGATCTTACAATCAAGTCTGCAGAAAAGTGGATTGATGCTGGAACTTAGAGCGAACTCATTCTAAGTAACAAGAGATCACGTCCACGATCCCACGCAGGACAAGTCTATTCAGGAACTTTCTTCTCCTCTGGCCTCAATCCAGATTATACACACGCGCGACTTTCCCCTTATGCGTATCTTTTTGAACCACCCCGAAAAGCCTATCTCGACCACAAATGCAAGGGAAACAAGCAACAAAGAAAAAAGTCCATATGGGGTAGAATCGAATACCTAGCTAGCTGACGACGGGATTATGCTAACATCCCAAGAGGAAAAAAGTAACGAGAAGAAAGAAAAGACGGCGCAAAAACTTTCTGCTCGGGAGCAAACTTTCTGCCTTGGAGCAAGAAAGTTGAGACTCCATGTATTTACATTCTTGTAGAGAATCAATCGAAGTGATTCGAATTAATTTTCAATTGAAATTGGACTACTGTGACCCAGAAGCCGTTCGATGTGAAAACTTCCTGTTCCTGAATTGTGTTAGATTTCATATCGTGTAAGCATCGTTTTCTTATGTTTAGATATGGATAGAAAGGAATAATTCCTCACACACAACATAAGTAATACGCATCGAATAAGTTGGCTCAGATTGAAAATGATATACAGGTTTCATGCAGATCAGCATCATTGTCATGGACTCACGACTTCTTTAAATTTTATTTATTCTTTCTTTCTTTCTTCTCTCCCTGATTGCCGTTGCTCATTGCGATGTTCGCCAAGCGTAAAATTCAGAGACTCGTCCTTCATCAAGCATATAACTCTTGACCAAAATCATCCTGCGCCGTAAAGACATGCTAATAACGCCCATTGTGCTTCTTTTCCACAATCAAATGCCCCCACTACCAGGTTCCAAACACCATTATCCAATCAACCTTTATATAGAACGAAAAAAATAAGCTAGCGCCCGAGCTCAATTCAGCTCTCTCTCTCGTTATCTGTGCTGAAATCTTCCGCTACAACTGTCTCATCATCTTTATATTCTTTGTATTCCGATTCCTGCGCACATTTTTCATCGAATACAGATTCGTGCTGATAAAACTCTCTCGGCTTCTTAACAATAAAAGCATACGTCTCATCATCCTCCAAGAAGATTTCCCCTCTTCTCGACGTTCGATTTCTACACAAGCATTAGCCGAAGTCCAAATCTAACAAAGTAAAATAAATAAACTTACCCAAACCTCTCTACAGACTCCAATACACAAACCACAAGTAAGAAAACCACCACAATTCCCACAACCAAAATATCATTTCTTCGTCCCATCTCCAAATGCGCCAATCGAGTTCTATATCCTACCGCAGTCCCGGGCCACGAATTGGAATTTCCACATCCTGGTTTCTCTCCATTGATAGCCAACCGTCCGTTTTCTCCCTCCCAGTATTTCCTCGAATCTTCTTTGCGCAATTTAGGTAATGCGGAAGTGGGCATACTTGGTCTCGCTTCATCCTCGTCACTCGTCCTTGTCAAACTTTGAAGATATGCCGAACTGAGTGGTGTTTCTGCAGAAAGGGCCTCATCTGCGGAGATCTCTTTTGAAGGAGTCGTTGGCGCATTGTCGATAGCACCTTCTTCTGCAAAATATTCATCGTCCGAAGGGGAAGTAGTTGTTGGTTTAACAAAAGTCGGGATAGGTAGTTTTTGATGTTTTGGGAAATGTGGATCGCGGGGATCACTGGGCTTAGGGTGGGAGAGCGAAAGAGTACCTTTGACTGAGTAGAGTGAGTTGCAAGATTGAGAGTTGAAACATTCTCGAGACACTGGGAATGCAGTTGAAAGTTGGAGGAAGAGGAGGAGCGAGAGCGGTGATGATGGTCGCATCTTTGCGATTAATATGAATAGAATTATTACGATGTGAATTATTGACTAGACTTTTGAATGAAGAGGTGAGGCAGGTATATAGGTTTAAAATTCGTATGGAATAAATCGTCGATCGTCGTGAATGGCAAGTGATTCCGATGTTTCAAGACGCTTTCGTAGTCTGCCACACCCGAGACGTTTGGAATGCCGCAAACGTGAGTAGATCAATCTTCAATCTTTCCGAACACAGCTTAACCCAATCGATCAATACTTAGGTGAGGTATGAAAATGCAAAGGCTGGAGCAAGAAATCAAGATTGGAAATAAAAGTCGATAGAGCGAATGTAAAGAAGTGGTGGGAGTGAGGTAGGGAAACTCTCGTATTTAGATCAAAGAATAGGTAGCGTACCACGCAGGTGGTGTGGTGTGTTGTAGCCAATCATTTCTTCACACTTGGGCAAAAACAATAGTTGCAACACAAACACGCATTAGTATTTTCGGGACTCTACACAAGGGACTAGAGTTACATGGGGCAATCCCATCCACTGCATGTTTCTCAAATGCTAATTTGGTAGAAATCCTTCCAAACTTAAAATTCCATATTGGGGTGTTGGCAAAGAAAACGCTTCAGCCCCTCAGGGTCCTTGCGCGATTTTCATTGGGTAATTCCTAGGGTAAATGGCATCCACGATGGTTAATAGTTTAGTTAACGTTACATGGGCTGATGCGGCCGAGGGGGCGTGAATGATTTTGGCTCTTTGGATTGTTCGAGACGGGGTGGTGAGATGTGGGCTGGGTTTTTTCCGGCTTGATAGAATGAGAGATGAGGGTATAAGCCTCGTGGCTTTGCACGGTACAAAGTGTACAGCAAGACAAGCAAGATTCGTTCCTCAAGCAAATGAAGATATACTTAGATGTGCATCCCATTTTGGTTCTTTGTTGGTTTCATCCATTCGATCCCATCCCTCCATGTGGCTCGACCTCTCTCACGATAAACTGGAGCCTGGAAACATAACGTGAATAGAGTGATTTACAGCGCTACTCGTAACTAACATATTACCAAGACAAGATCACGGAAAGGTGGAGATTTGCATGATTAGTGGGATTTCCGATTATGGGGGAGACCGCGAGACCTTGTATAGTTCTTCCTCTTCCACTTTTCTTCGTATCCTATCAGTGCGTGTGCGTCCACAGAAATCCTTAGGTGGAGGTCACTGCTTGAACACCGAAGAGTAGGTACTAGGAGCTCCCTGGATAGGCTCGTAAGTACCTGCCAACTATAATGCTAAGATATGGTCATGGCGCCCCCACGCGACTTGGGACGATCTGAACCTTTGATCAAACAATTGGGGGGAAATGTTTTTGATATAATACAAAACAATGTTTGGTGAAAAGTTACGAATGTCTTGTTCTCGTAGACACACATACTTGTGTACTTTACTTGGCATACTACTCTGATTGCGAAATGTGCAAGTAACTGCATCTTGTGACTCCCATGATCCATCACAATGTACCGGCTTGAAATTGTATCATGTGGTGCTATACGAGTTGATTATTGGTTGCTCAATCAGAGTCTCAAAGAGTGTCATCGTCAATTTATTATACGAAGTGAAGTGTCGAAAAACTCTTGTTTTCCCCTCAATGAAAAGAATTTTCTATCCCGAGGTTGCTAATGCAATTCTAGTCCTGCTTATGCCATGAGGATGTTTAAACGAGCTCTTCTTGTCGATGAAGGGGTAGCTCCCTTAATTTACTGGTGTCTTGGCATTTGGGCGTAGCAAAGGATAATAACAACTCAATGCAATTGAGGGATTATTCCGCGCTACCTACTCTGTATACACTTTCACTTGATTAATCCATCTACTCAATGCTTCTATCGCGAGATTAATATTTGACCAAGCAGGGTTTGCTGTGAATATATCTTAAGATTCAATGGTAAATGATAAATGGTCTCCATAACCTTTTGTTCGTCATAGTCAAACGATCGTCAGGTACACATAGTAAATCTATCCGCAATCCCTGTAGCTCTTTTGTTTCGAAGATAAGAGCTCCGGCATCTACTCATCATATATCCATCGTACACCGTGTACCGGTAGTGTACCAAAATCCCTGCAAAACTCATGTCTCTCCGACAAACTATGAACATTACTAAGGTTCGTTAGTATGGTTCAGATCGCAGGCTGCATTCTGAACTATGGAGTACGGGAGATCATTTCATATGGACCATGGGAGAACACTGAAATGATTAGAATTCGACACTTTATTCAAAGTTCATCTTGCAACCTTCCCTCGGCTACCTTTACGGGGTCGCAGTCAGCAAGACCACTAGCCCCCAATCCTTAACTTTCACCATGAATCCTTCTGGAATGATGATGGAAGGTTATTTCCGCCTTTGTTTGGCCTCAGGAGAACAGCTTACATTTTGATACTACCCTTTATGTCCTACCACCATTTATGAGATGATTCAAGGGACAGAGCGGCATCCCTGGAAGTTCGTCTGATGAACGGCCATTCCAGCGCTTCTTGAAACTTTTTATCTATTGCCTTCGGTGAAATACAAATAAGCGCTGATACATTCATTGCTCATCAAACGAGGTCCCCGAAAACGAATCGTTCAAGATGAATAACCCGAGAAAGGTGCAGAGAAGCAAAACGTGATCGATATCAATGTGTTTACTCTACATGCATACGTGACAATGTTTCATGAAAATGTAGCACTGCATCGTTGCTTATACAATGTAAGCTTTCGCTCGTTGACTTGGCCCTGCAAGGTTTCTCTGTGTGGAGTAGGATGAGAATGAGAAATATGCTTATTCTGAAGGATCTTTCTGACACGGACGAGATGAGATGGTAATCAGATGAATCCTTTGCCATGATTTGGTTATCGAAGTTCTAATAATAGGAAACAGGATACTTCTAAAGCAACATAACGCTCAGTACCTAGTAAGCTATGTTGATAAACGAAGAGAGGGATGTGTGTATCATTATTCATTCACAGGAAGTGAAGGAAAGATACCTACCTGTAGGAATGAATAGATTGGTAGGAACCAAGATCTTCTATTCTAATTGACTAACAAGAAGTTAATTGAATCGAATTCCGCACAAGCAGCTCCATCACAATCTCAACCAATCAATGTTTAATAAATCGGTTATTCGATATTTTTAGGAAAAGAGAAGAAAATCATTCGTTCACCCACCCATCCATCCACCTTAATAAGGTTCCGGGTTACCTCCACATCAATAATTTATCAGTAATTTGAGACATGCAACAAAATACAGTTATGATCATGTGAAACATATCCATGTCATGCGTTTTTAGGTAAGCACACTACTCATCATCTACAACGGTGGCCGGAACTGACCTTGATAGCATCCCAAAACATCCTCAAGGCTGACAATTTGTTAACCAGATATCAACTTTGAAATGTTACAGCCTTCTCAATTATGGTGCCTCCACTGGTACCTCAATCTGCTCCCCCCTTAAATCGAAGTTCGACAGCACCCAATATCGCATCTGCTCGAACTATACCTTATGAAAGGTCACATCTTGCACCAGAAGATGCTATATCTCAAGCCTCACCACCTCGGAGACCATCTGCCGCTCTCAACCAATTGCGCATGACAAATGGGGATGCTGGAAGATTAAGAAGTAGAGGAAGACATACAGATAGAACGAAAAGCAGTACCAGAAGACGGAAAGCTACTTGGAAAAAACTGCTATGGGTGAAACAATCATGTATGGCATACTTCAATTCAGCAAATGAAAAACAATACTGATCGATCGATACAGATCCAGACAATTACACGGATCAGGATACCTTTCTCGAACATCTGCAAAGAAACCCACGTCTTCAGCCTTATGATTTTTGGCCATTGGTAGCAGACTCCACGGTCATTGTACAACACGTTTGTTCTGTCATAATATTCATTGTTTCTTTCGTGGGGATATATGATAAACATGTCTCTCCTGTTTCTGTGGTTGGCTGGGGCTCTATCGCTACCTTTTTAGGCTGGGTATTATGGGATTTATGGGTGGGACAGGAAGAAAGTACTCGACCGGCATTTCCACCGCCGCAGCCTTTCTCTCACACTGTATCTGCAACAAGTTCAACGCCGAATTTATTGGCAACAGCTGCAAATGGGCCAAAGCACCCCCATTCGATATCAACAACATCTCTTCAATCTACCACCTCCAATTTAACTCAACCACCTCCAGCACGACCGGTTTATACGCCACATAATTCACGCCTCTCTCATCGTACATCGCTCCGTCTTTCAACTGCTAAATCAGCCCTTCTAATTTACTTTACCCTCCTCGGCCTTTCTCCCATTCTCAAATCTCTCACCAGGTCCACTTCTTCAGACTCGATCTGGGCAATGTCATTCCTCCTCTTTACGATCAATATATTCTTCTTCGACTATGCTACCCCGTCCCCTTCATCTTCGTCTGGCTATCCACCATCAAACACGAAGAACAAAAACATTCCCGCAAGTTTGAGTACAAATGCGGCTCTAATGGCCTCTACTGTACTAGCTTCACGTCTTCCCAGTACCGGACAAGTCTTTAGTCTTACACTCTTCTCCATTGAAGTTTTTGGTCTTTTTCCTGTTTTCCGTCGTTACACTCGCTTACATTCTTTACGTGGTCATCTAATACTGACTCTATTACTCGTCTTTGGTGCCGGAGGTGGCGTAGGATTGGTGTTGCCACAGTCAGGGAGATCAGCCTGGGATTGGAAAAGCGGATTGATTGGTGTGGTTTTGGGGACGCTAATCACAGGATTAGCTATGGGCGGATGTAGTTGGTGGTTGATAGGGTTGCAGAAATATAAAAATGAAATCCACGGGCCGTGGGATCCAGCGAGGCCTGTCATTAGAAGGGCTTGGGATGATTATTAAACAAGAAGATAATATAATTCATAGAGCTCGCATCATGCGAGTTTTTCATCCAACCCGTGTAGTCTAGTAGAAGCATTGGTGATGTTTCTGGAACCGGATAAATTGAACTGTTGCATCCCGAAAGCCTTGACCCCTCGCCTGCTTTACCCCCTTTCATTCGATGCTACTCTAGCGAGATCGATCCAAACATGAGACACGCCACAATAGATTACTTGCTCGCCTATTCATAAACTCGACTCTCAAACTGCCACTCTTGAGTAGAGTAAAATCTCGAAACGCACCTTCGGCCAGCGATTTGAAGTAGATTTCTCATCATCCCATCTCGGAACAGTCCGGCTTGGAAGGATTTAACTTAGGCGCTGCATACCAGACGGTATTTTATCGAGGACATTTTTTGCTACCGAGTGTTTTGACTCTTTGACTCTTCTGAGGGCTTTCGCATAATGAGGTTATATGAGATTCTTATGGAAGGTTTAGAGTTTTGAGATGAGGAGTTCAATTTTGGATTGGATAAGGTAGTAGTTGAGACTTGATGATGAGCGCCTCGCTTCTTTGTGAGAATTTCTTCTTCGGATTTTTTTAGGGGGGGAGGGGCGTACCATCGACCCTTCCTTTCATGATGCCGACTCTATATCGTGACAATTTTCGCCCTGTTGTATTGGCTTTCTCTTTCCTTTTGTGTCAAACTTCTTCCTCTTGTTTTTTTGTCGGTCTTGTTCACTAATTAGCTTCGGATCCCCAAACCCCCTCCTCTTCCTTGGTATTCACAATTCCACAACATCGATATCTCGAAGTTCAGTTTACCACTTATATTCATATGCCTAGTATTGTTTCTTCTCACCAACATCATTACGATCATTATGAGAATCCCCAATTCCCTCTACACTTGCGCTTTCTGTTGCAAATTCAATTTGTTAATAAAGCACTGTGGATCCTGCCTGTCCATCCTTTATTGCTCCAGGGAGTGTCAACGATTGGACTGGTCTTTTCACAAAGGTTTTTGTAAAGCTTTTACGTCCCTTGGTCCACGCCCTTCAGATGGTCATAGCCTCGCATTCTATTTTCCGGTTGACCTTGATCCCAGACTGGAATGGGTTCGGCGTCCAGATTTTCTGCATCCAAAGGCCAATAATAGAATACTTGGTTTTCGGTCACTGGGTTTCATGGAATCAAAGGTTTGATGACCTCATGCAGTGGTTGAATTGATATTTTGCTGACAGTCAAGAACTAGCCAACGTCACCATGGCCGTATATTCTTTGTCGAGGAGGCTGCCGAGACGATAATCTCAAGCTCAACCATAGCGTTATATCTTTTACGAGGGGAGCCTATTGGACTGGACCTTTGGTTGTTTTCCGGACAGGGAGGCCTGATATTGACTCAGAAGTTATACGTGATATTTTATTGGATGACCTCCCCAGAGTCATACGATGGTTAAGACAGATTTCCAATGGAAGTCGAGTAATGAAGCCCCAAGTCTTTAAGTCAAGTTTCAACACTTCGAAATGTGTAATTCTTAGATGTAGGGGTGATTATATGAATGCTCCAGAAGAAACTCAACTTGTGGTCTCCAAAGTCCCAGAATTGCACCCGATTTTCGAGGGGCAGCCCACAAATCTTTCGCAATTGATGGGAATTCCGTTGATAATACAAAAAATACCTCGTGAGGCTGGGAGAGATGTTGCATTCGACAAAGATTACTTGAGAAATTATTATTGTGGTATCCTTCACTTTGATACTCGTCCTCATAGTGAGACGTGGGGTGAAATACCTTCACAATGGCATGAGAATGTGGGGACTGTTCTGGTCGCGAGACAGACAAAAAAGATATTACCACGCTTCAACTATTGGCGATTATGACATTCATCAAGCTATTGGATCTTAGAGAAGTAGAAGACGAACTCGATGTTAAAACAAAACAGAGATTTCTTGAGGGGTACTTCACCAGGATGAAGTTCGAACAATTTTTCTTCGGTCGCTTTGCAGCTGCTTCTGATCAGGTCCCACATCTAGACGGAGATCTGATATCTCCTTACAGCAACTCATATGATTCAACAGACATATCACAGAACTCTTCACTAGTAGATAGGGCGCTGGACCTCTGGCACAGAACTGGACTGAGAGCAATTTATTTGGTCGATGATTGAGAGATATGTGTATAAATTATCGGGTCAAGAAATGTCGTGATATAGCAGTTTGGAGAATGATGTAGCAGATGTTGTTGTCGCAGATGATGTCGTTGATTGATTGAATAAGGGTATGACTGGAGCGTTATTTGGACTGCTTGCTTTCTACACATGGAGATATCAGCATGACCTCGAGCTAAGAATCCATCAGATTTCTATTTCAGAGCGAATAAAATTAGCGTTAAATTTGGAATCTTGAGCAGTATCATGGGCACGAGATTACTCCTTGAGCTTTCTCCTTAATGTATCAAATAATGATGCCTTGCATTTTATATTCACTTTTTTGAGTTTGACTCCTCATCTTTGCCGTGATTGCTGTTCTGGTCACAAGAGAAAGTCATTATTCAAATCCTTAATCTCCAAGCGAGATTGTACTGGCTATTGTACTACAGAATTTTCTACGGCTGACAGTGTATAACCTAAATTGCCGAGTCTACCCAGTAACCATTACTTGAAAGATCATTTTAATTCATTTAGATATAAAAGCTTGACAATACCGTTCTCCTACAGTCAGTTTGAAACTTCTATTACTCCCCCAGTTGGTCACGTCACCTGCTCCTCCTGGTGCTCGTTAAACCATCATTCCTGTAATTAGTAAGTTTCGCCGGCCCATTCACAAAGAATGGTCTAAAATTTATTTCTATTACCGAAAAAATACTTCACTACTTGATCCAATTCACTCATCATACGAGTAGCAACCAGTTCGTGTACTTATTAACTCCTACTGACCCTTGCACCACTTTAGATAAAAAAAATTCTTTCCCTATCAGACCTCTACAATTCTTCTTATAAGTTACTAAACGATCAGCCCCATGCCATCACGTCGAGATCCGACTCTGGGCCCACGGGTCTCGATTTCCTCTTTCGGTCCTACCATCGAACACCCCAAATGCGGATACTGTACAAAAGATGCTTCAATTCCATGTACAACTTGCAATGCTACCTGGTATTGTACAGTAGCCTGCCAGAGAGTCGATCGCGATGTTCATGACATCATCTGCCAGAAATTCGCAGATTTTGTTGCGGCGCACCCGTGTCCCGATGATACTGCCGAAAAAAAATACAGACTTGGCCTCCTATTGCCAGTCGATTCGGAGGACTTTGAATTGGCATGGATTGCCAATGGTTCTAATGGAAAGTCGGTTGCAACATTTCTTCAATATTACGACCAAGATCGGATAAACACTCGCAGCACTCTTGTGGATTACAATATGGCAAGCAAGAAGTTTGATCATTCCATTATTTTGGCCGTCCGAGGAGACTTTCTCACTGATAACTCTCCACCGAATGCTTGCATCAATCATATCATAGATGGGAATATGAAGTTCGCCTTTAAGGGTCCAGTTGCTGTTGTTAGAGAGCGTGGTTGGGGCTCAGTTGGAAGTGCCCAGCATTTTCAACCATGCGATTTTAGGATTCTAATCGATTTCCTTTTCAACTATGAAGGGAAGCCAAATATTAATATCGGGCATGCTTGTGGCGAGGAACCGAAGAATATTTTGGGCACGTCAGTGAGCCGCGTTTTAAAATTTCTGAAGGGGAAAGCTCAAGATGGAAAGAGAAAATCTAAGAATGCTCCTCTCGGCGGCGAAGAACGTAGAACCTACAGAAAGCGCGCCGAAACATTTGCTGAACCAGACTGGATGGAAAACTCGGAAACTTTTCTTCCAAGACACAAAATGCAGCGCTCAAAATCGAGTATCAATCTTGGTAGTTTCAGAGACGATGCTTCTTCGCTACATAAGGCTGAATCATTTGTCATGCCAGATTTTCTGCCAGATTGGATTAGGGAGTCGGTTTCAATTGCCGCCGGACCCAGGACGCATTCCGAGATAGCTACATCTCTTTCTATCAATACAGAGAAGGCTTTCGAGGAATCTGATAGTATTTTCAGTACGACAATTACTCCAATATCACCAGTTATCTCGATTGCGGCGACTACTAAGCAAGCTCGTCGTGAAGACAATGTATCTGTTAGAGGATCCCTTGATATTTTCGACCTCTACAACTCGAATAGAAATAGAGGTAACCATGATGACTCCGCATCTATTCTATCAAGCGGACCAAGCCCATCCATCCTAACCACCACTTCGTTCTTTCAGCCCAAGACAATCCTTCAACTCAGACCAACAATTAGGAAAGTAAAAGATTCCTCGACATTAAACAGAAAATCATCGTTATTCAGTCGTCCAAAATCTAAAAGTGTCGAGCTAAACCGCGATCATATGACACTTAAACGAAGTATGACCGGCTCGATCATGTCGCCATGGACAGTATAATGAGTGGACCTACAGTGTTCTCTATACAGATATACGTTTTTACACAAAGTTATTTTTAGAAGTTCCGAGCAAGGTCGAGATGTCGATGAGGTAGAAACATATATAGGAGATGATTTGATTCTAGAGTTGGGTTAGAAGGTTGTATTCAGACTGACGTGGGAGAATTTTGGTATGGGTACACGACGGGCAAGCATGGGGATGTGAGTGTGGTTTTTGATACTTTCGAAACTTTCGATACTTTCGATACTTTTTTTGGATACTGCTGGATGCTTTTTGCGCTGGCACGTGATGGGAATGATGGGAGTGTTAGGTGGTTCGATTATAATTTGCAATTTAGATACTTTACTTAGTAGTTGGTGGTACAATGCAGTCTCATGCACATCTAAGATACTCCATTCATTTGCGTGTAGTTTAAGTTTGTCGGTTACTTAACCTTAGGCGATCGCACTGATGTATCTAATGTGCTTCGCGTTTGCTCAAAATTTCTGTTGCTGTGCTTACTTTTTCATTTCCCCATTTCCGAACCATTCAAATGTTTAGCAAACATATTTTTGGGCGATGGGTTATTATTTATTCTATTCTTCTTGCATCGGCAAAAGTAGGTAGTATTCCATAAAACTTGTGACGGTTGCTAAACCCCCGTTTTCCCCCAACGTCGCTACGAATGCCAATGATCTTTTTTGGTAAGCCCGAGGATCAATTTTCAACCTTGTACATAAGTGCACAGAGTATAGAAAATGAGTTTTGTGACTTGCGGACTGATCGATAGGAGAAAGTTTGAAAGCACGTGATTGTAATATCAGCCGCACTAAAGATCTTTCTCTCACCTTTGAACTGAGATAGTCAAGACTAGGCAGGTGGATATGGTGAATTTTAAGACTATCGTGGAAACAGACTTCAATGTGTGATCTCCTTCAAATTTGATATTTCCGAGTAGATACAAGAGCTTCTGAGTTTTACCTCAACTTTCACCTCCACTTTCACCTCCAACTTTCGACAATACAATTGAGAGAGGTTTCATTACAGTTGAAAACCTTCTCTAGTTCTTAGATCGACTTTACCAAGACAAGCTATAGATTTATTCAACCATGTCTCAAGTATTCGGTCCCATCCCTCCTCCCCCAAATACAGACACATCTACCGGTGGTGTTAAGGCTGTTTACATCCACTGCTTGGGTGATCGAAAAATCCTTGGCTTGCCTAAATATACCGAAGTTGCAATCTCAGACAGCCATGTCATTTTCAGCAGAGAGCCCACAGATATCTCTGTTCATATGGGCATTCCACTTCTCACCAGGAAAACCGGCTACGTTGATCCACGCTGGGTTGATAAAAGACCTGGTATCGATTATGCGTGTGCAACTTCGAAGAATCCCATGTCGAATATAAAAGCACTATACCTTAATCTGCGAGCCGATCTTAAACAGGAGCAAAACTGGGGCTTTTCTGACATGGAGAAATGGGACACAGTCATTGGTACGGTTTTGGTTGCAAGGCAAGATAAGAAGGACATCACTGCGCATCAGGTTGAGGGGTTGGCCAGGTTCTGTTTCTATGATCTTTCACCTGCCATGGGAAAGCTTGAAGAATATATCTTCGAGGATTATCCAAAGAAATCAGACCGAAAGAAGGTTCGCGAGAGGTTTACGAAGGATTTCATTTGTCAAGCCAAGTTTGAGGATTGCTATGAAAAATTGAAAGCAGAGAGAGTTGCGGCCGGAAAGTCCTCGTGGGCTACTGCTATTTCTCCTTATTCTCAGGATTAAACTTACGAGAATCAATACGCATGGAAACTGGGATACATTATGAATTTAGGCAGAGGATTTCAAATATTTGATAATTCACGATGATGGATAATAGCGGGGAGGATTCTAATTGATCTTGCAGTTTGCGACAGAAGATTTCAAGGAGACAACAGAATTATCAGTAGTGCAAGGGATGCTCGATAATTGGTCTCGTAGTGGAGAATTTGGTTTTAAGCATGGGGTTAAGAGAGAACAATGCGAAGTTAAGGTGGATGCTCTTCAGTACGACTCTTACAATAATTTCATGCATGGGGTTAATTTTCTAATGTTCCATCACATAGATTCGCAATGGAGAGCCTAAAAATAAATATCGTGCATTAAACTTTTCTTGACTAAAATTGTTGCAGATGGTGCTCACTAATTATAGAGAACAATTTCTAGAATTCCACGTGGTTTTTTAAGGTTCAAACATTCTCTCCATACCTCCTCGATCTCTCTACAACATGATTCAAATAATTGGCACAAATGTTTCGCTTGTCTAATTCTTCGCTTCCACCCCCAACACCTAAATATCAAATGGGCTGATAGCATCAGCCCATGATTGATCTCCCCCTTCAATCTTAGCTTTCTTGAACTCCCCGAAATATTTTTGAAAGGCGTCTCTATCCAGAAGGCCCTTCGTGACTTTCTCTTTCTCGACAGTTGGTGGTCTTGCGTCTTTGTATCTGTGAATTAAGTTTCCCATTTCAAAGTAGACGACACGGCGGAAATAATTGGCGATAACTTCGACTTGATGGACAGTAATTGACTTCTTGTCTTTCCTTACGACCTGAAAGCTTCCTGTCTCTTGGAGAGGGAACCTCACCATATCTTTTGGAGACAAACCTCCCCAGCTCTCATCTTGCGGGTCAATTGTCAGAAATAGAAATAATGCTTCTTCGTTGCGGTGAGGAACTAAAGTGTTCGTTCTCAGAGCCAATTCATGCTGGCCCTCGACCTTCTGATAATCATACGGCTCGTTGAATGAACGAAGTATCAATCCGATTCCCAGGGCTTTGGTGCATTCTATATCTTCGTGGAGGAATGCGTAGTCCGCAGTGGAAATTTCGATGCTCTCGTATTTAGGAAGTTTCAAAATTTCCGTTCCACCCTCACAATGTATGCGCACAGCCGATACTTTTGGCGCCGCGGACTTCTCTGCGTGATGTAACTCTTCGAGAATCTTGATTTCATTGGTGAAACCTTGAAAGCTGTATTTGATTTGATAATCCTTCATTCCTGGTGGTACGTGGCGGCGCAGCCAGTCGGCAACAATGCGAAGGTCTGATGGCCGAGCATCTCCTATGGATCTGGTTCCTTTGATTCTGTGAACGACAATCATGGCACCTCGATGTCCGAAAGTCATGCAATTGCTTGCCAATTTACTGGCGCATTTGTTAATTGGTGTTTGAAGAATGTTATGAGTGGGCATTGCGGGCATCTTAATTTCTAACTGGCGATGCCAGTATCTTGAGTCGTCCGGAAAACTCTCAAGTAGGGCGATGTTTAGGCGTAGGGTAGTAGTGTCAAATTTTCCTACTCCACTGAGATCTAACCACTTGACAAGTGCTTGAGATGTTAAGGCCTGCATAGGAGAAAGTTCCGTAGAGCTTCTCTGGCAAGTTTCAAGCCAAAGGAATTGTGGCTGCTTATCATTGACCGGAAGAAGAATCACAAGCTTGAATGGTCCGAGATTTCCATTTGCGGGACGTGGCACACTGGTAGTAAAATCGGCGTAGGATCTGCAGACTAGCTTGTGTAATTTCCAATCACCCTTTTGACACTGTTCGTTGCAGTAGAATAAGGTTTTACAGCCTGCACATCTTTGTTTTGCTCCAGTAACATTGCAAAATGCGCATTTGGGAGTCAAATCGACCGGCGCGGATTGATATTGAGGGCAATCAGGAGGGTGCTGGGAAGCTTCAGGAGGTGCAAAAGTTGAAATCCATTTTCGAGACATTATTGATAGACCACTGAATTTTCATGGGTCTGTTTCCTTGCTTTTTGAAGCTCGATAATCTATTCACAATGAGTTCATCAGCTTGGACTCAAGTCATGGAGATAGTGTAAGATAGACAACTCGAGAAGCAGTAATGAAACTTAAACTCCTATTAATTCGACTTATCTGGAAGGTTGGAAGAGAAGCAAGGGGCGACAAATGAACTTACATGAAATAGATAGAGAATAAGCACAAGTTATGAGAGCTCATCAGAGGCTGGACCATCTCTTATGATATGTATGTAGTTCCTGGTTTGTTTGGTCTGCAACAATGCTTGTTATGAGATATGACATATGATATTGTAGTTGTCTTGAATGCTAACAACCTGGATTGGGTTTTTACTAGTGCAATCTAGAATAGTACAGCAAACGGGTATTTGAAATGTACTTCCCGAATTCTTGTTTGTAGCAGTGAGCACAAATAGAGAATAAAAACAGCATTAGTTCTGGGATAGTGACATACATACGTCGGCTAAATACATTCCTGCATATAGTCACGGATCAGCTATACATTAGGTCGTTTCACACCTTTTATTGCAAACATAGCTTTCATCATTCTTCCCTCTTAATTGCCACAACAATGAGAGAGGGGAAACTTCAGCTGAGTACAAAAGCTTGTCATAACCAATCAATTTGTTGGAAAATTTGTTGGAAAATTTCTAGAAATCGATAGTAGGCCAATTATGTAAAGGCCATGGAAATATGAGTAGGTGGTGAAAAGTTTATTTGTCCTCTGATTTCTTCACTCTTGTAATCTTTTCTTTCACACGTTCCGTCTTCATCCAAAATAAGCGACCTTTCTTCAAAGTTCCTCGTCAAAGAAGAAAGTAGGAACACCGGGTGGAATGATGTTATAGATCTCAGTCGTGGCATTTCAATCTTATTCGGAGTTTTGAATCCTCCCATCAAAAAATCAGCTTAGATAGAGAATAGCAAATGCGCTCCTGAAGAATACTAACTGCCCTTTAACACTGATCACCTATGATTCCGAAATGGAGCCTTCTGAAGGCACTTCTCAAAGTTAGTTCTTTAAGTAGATGCCACTGAAGTTCGTTTCAATTTGTTGAAAGTATGACTACATAGCCTTCACGCGTTTCTCCTCTCGAGTCAGAGCTTCTTTTTCTTCTTCATTAGTTCAAAGAACAAACGGATGAGGTTATCCATGTGTTCTAGCAGCAAAACTGCGCGGTATTGATGAGCTATAAATTCTATTATAGAACTTATAATATTATATTAATACTAATAAATAAAAAATGGTACTAAAGCCATCCTGTGTTTTCAGAAGAAGATAGCCATCACTTTTTTGAGTCTACATGGGGAATCAGATAGCAAACAGATAGATGCTACAACGGATTGCTGTTCGGCTTTGGCGGTGTATCTGAGTGCTTTAGCCTTCTCTAACCCTATTCATATATTTGCAGATTCACAGAGGATAAATTACGAGCAAGTTAATGCACAGAATGGCTTAATGGTACCTTCCGGTAGGAGCTCTTTGAAGCATTTATAGTGATCAATTAACACGTCATGCTCAGGTTCTTTGCCCGTGAAAGCTTGTGGTAATTTGATTTCATTTATACTCATTTGGATATTTCAGTCATTCCACTCTACGTGAGACAGAGGTAGTTATTATTAAACCTTTCAAGCAAGCGAAATCAGCAGAGCCAAGGAACTTCAATTCAAACCCGAGAGATTCAATCTCGAAACCAAGCGAAGAAAGTGCTTTCGAGTTTGCTGTCAGGTAAAAGTAAACCTATACTTTTCATTGCCAGGGAGAGTTCAAGAGGTAGAAATCTGCTTCTCAGGCCAAGAAAAACAGTATCACGAAGAGCTCAGCAAAGGAGATGACTTGAAATGTGGGTTACGTTTTGTTAATTTTACCTTCAAAATCATAAAGCTACAGAGAAAACAAATGATATTTATTATTGACTCAATCTAACATCTAAAACGAATGTGGAAGAAGAAGTGGGAAACAGAAGGAAAAGTAGAGTGTGCCAAATCCAGGCTCACAATCGAAGTACTGATAGAACAGCAGAGGAACGAAGTGAAAATCCGTGATGAGAATTCTGACAAAATTCAAGTCAGTATTGAGCCTTTTATGATGAAATTTCTCCTTCACCTTTGAAAATAACTTCTAGTGAATATAATTGATATAGACCGCATTTGCCTAGTTTGTTTTACCTCAGCAATTCCGAACCAAATCTGCAGGCATATCTTTCAGACTATCAAGCGCTTTCTTTAAAATCTACACACCTCTAAACTGTAAATCTCAGTATTTCTATCCGACACACCTCATCCTCGACGTAGAGTCCTCGATAGGAATCATTTATCTCTCATTATCTGTGGATCCAAGGCATTATCGAGTAGATTATCTTATACAATCCTTCGCCATCCGCTCATCTAAACTACCAAGACTCTTATCCCCACATAAAAAACTTCAATCATACACACGCAAGCATGGTGGGAACAATTGGCTGTTGTACAGTCTGCAAGAGAACGCGCGCGCTCATATGTACAGGCTGCAGGTCTGCGGAGTATTGCTCCAAAGACTGCCAGAGAAAGGACTACAGAACCCATAAACTGCTTTGCTCTGAGTATGGGCGCATAATAAATTCGGCCAGACCTAGTGCAAACGCCAAGCTTGCTTTTCATTTCGGGCAAGGACTTTATGGAGAATCATGTGTTCCTAAGATTATTTGGGTCGAATCGGAAGGTGAAGATGGAAAAAAGTGCGTCAAGCAAGTTGAGAGAGATGGGAACTGTGTCAAGATCCATAAAAATCTACTTGTACAAGCGATGGATAAGGTATCACATCCAAATCCCGAGCCTCGTAACTTACCATTGAACCATTACCAATGCACCAGAAAGTTCAAACTTGACCATGATGTTGTGCTACATCATCGAGCTGCACATATGTTCGATGAATCAGTACCCAATATGGGCGTCTTCAAATTCACTGATGGAGTTCAAGGTCTTCTTTGGAGAGGACCTGTGACCTTCTATAGCTTCAAAGGGGTGAAATTGGATAGACTTGCAAACAGAGTCCCTGACTTGGATGTCACTATGTCTGACCTACATGTCGCATTGAGTTTCTTGCAGAACAATACTGGATCAAATGCTGGGCCCGAAGCACTCTCGGCGGGCGGCTTGTTCCTGTATGAAGTCCATGAGCCTTTGCTGTTTCAACAGCTGATGGTTAGGTACTCAAAGAACGCAAAGCCAATCAAGGGTATTCGAATATCTTGTCTCGGAGACATTCAACATCTACGCAAGGAAGAATATCAAGTCGTCGATATTTTACCTAATCATCCTATATTCCACGCCGATCAGCCAGATCCTCATGCTGCCGTCCTCAAACAACTTGGGATTCCACTCATCGCTCGCAAGCTCATACCCGATGAGGATTTACAGCCAAGAAAGGGTCTGCGGAGTAGGGTGGGCTACGAAGTTCTGGAGAACGAGGTGGCAATTGCTTTGAACCTCATCACTGATGTCAATGGCCACCGGTTCAATTTTCCCGATCTTGGTGCACATTGGAAGAAGGTCGTAGGACCGGTTGTGCTTGTGAGAGAAGATGGAAAAAGACTCACAATCCACCAAGTGCAAGCATTGGTGGCTTTGTGCAAGCACAAGGTCGACTGGAATGACGCTTTGTGGATGGCTATGTTGACTTTGGGGACGGAAAGGCTTGATCACTTGGTCTCAATCGAGATCAGACAGAACGAAGTACGCGAAATAATGAAAAATGACGAAACGCTCAAGGCGCAATTCCAAGAATTTTTTGAAGAATTCAAGCGGGAGAAGATTAGTGGTGACGATGAGGGCGAAGTTGATGGGGACCCATCTTGGGCTGATGAAGCATCACCATATGATGTATGAGATAGCACGTTGTGGCGCCAAAATAAATGTTGCAAATTCATGGGCATACTTAGTTAGTTGCTGGTAGTTGGTTTCATTAAGAGCAATGCGGTGAGAGAGACATTAGCCGCGGAGGTCCCAGATGCACTATGCAATACTTTATTCGATCGCTTCAAATTATCAACAGCGTTGTACTTAGGTTTGCATTTTTAGAAGGTATATCAACAATGAAAAGGTGCTCTTTTCGAAATCAACCCAGACTCTTCGTGATTGTGTTTTCTGAGGGGTAAAACCAACATATCATCATAATCAGCCATTGTGCAGTTCATGCCCTGGAAACCTGGAAACTACTATTTTTCTACATATTTTTCAAATTGAAGTATGAGTGACTCACCAAGATTTGATCGGCATTTTTTAATGATGAAACATTTGAGTTTGAAGTCTCGAGGTAGATTATTGGTAGGTTTCTGGGACATCGCTCAATCAGGACCGGTGAGAAATTAGCGCCTTACGCATTTCTTATAGGCTTCCATCTTCATTCAAAACATATAAACATACCTCTTTCTTCTCGTCACAGCTCTTTCTATTATCCTTCAAGTAAGAGCTTCATTTCGTTCATTGAGTCTTACATCGTATGTCGAGCAGAATTTCAAAAATGCTGCCCTTTTAATCAGCCCGTCATCACCCCGCTTCGTTTAGACCCAGACGTCCTGAACAGGGGTTCCAGCTCGGCATCCTACTACTAGCTTCTTTGGTGGGATATCTACATAACTTAATGATAATGATAAGGAAAGCTCTTCGTATAGGTACTCTATTGATTGTTAGTATCGAAAATGCCCGGGTAGTCTTTGGTGGTCGATCATCATGTGTGAATCTTTTAGGTCACAGAAACTCGAAATGCAGCCACTCTTGCGATATGGATTACATATCCATTTCATCGGACCGGCTGGTATACATTACCTTGTCTAGAATTCTTGGTTTCAGCATGGTGGGATCGAGAATATATGCAGACATTGGATGTTTGATAAGCAAATAGGTAAAGATGCACCACCGCCTTAAACTGCCGCTCCAAGCATCGATATTTGTCCTTAAGTTTCAGTGAATCAAACCGTCAAGAGCCATTCTTTTCCACACCAGGGGCTTTTAGTTACACAGACGGGCACAATAATCCATCCAGTTCGGTGGTTTTCGACCACGGATAGAGACACAAAATGGTGCCTTGGACTATCTAGTCAAGCCACTTCACGGCATCCAATGCTTTTCCTAGACGGCTCAAAATCACTTCTCACGATCATTCGACTTATCTCTCAGCTCAGGGATAAATGTTTGAAACGACGTGTCTAGGTGGGAGGGCGGCTCGGGTGGACAGAAAACCCATACCGAAGTCTGACCCCACTGGGTAAACCTCGGTCAACAATGTGTCAATCATAATTGACAGCCTTTATTCATTCCAATCTTGAGCGATCCTGTATCTAATTATTACATAATTTTAGCCGAGCTGATACCACTGGTGTACCTACCTTTTTATCTCACTGTCCTCAATCATTCATTTCCCGTGGCCACAAGACAACTTCCAGCAATTCCCGGCTGAGAATGAAACCATGGAGGAGAACCCGATTGGAACCGTCCAATCCTAGACTTTGCATTTTTTATTGTTCTGGCCACCCAAGGCGAGACGTCTGCATTCGAGAAATTGCGACCTATAATATGCGGAGAGTCATTGCCATTTTCTGATTGGGCTTCTTGGTTTAAGGTTCACTTCGCAAAATCCTGGATATGTATGTGTGCTCAATGCATACTTGAACAGCTGTTCTATGCATCCAGAATATTGCCTATATGCAGAAAACTCAGGGACGGCACGCGAGAACGCTTGTCGTCAAACTCAAGACGGATGGCTCCGTCTATCACTGGTCGTCATGAGCAATGATACAAGCATTCAGCACCGTTATCGCTGCTGGTACTACCCACCTCAAAGTTCATCAAAAGTGGGAGTCAGAAGGATCCTGCAATACCCAAAAATGTCATTTTTAGTGTCGGAAACTGCCTCAACAGTCTTTAGTGCACACCTCCCTTTCTATTGTTCATTCGATTGGGCACTGTCAATTAGGTTCTCACACCCAAACTTACTCGAATTCTAGATATGCCAAGTATGGAAGGTCGCATTTCTACCATCGTGGCGGATTCGTGGAGCGCACGGGCTTAGCTGACAAGCTCCGTCAAGCTTTACGGCTTGTATTTCCAAGACAGTTAAGCTTTGCTTGTCCAGATTGAATGCGGGGCTATTGCTTACCGGAATTCCCCTAAAAGGCAGGTGAAAATGTACGTTAAGCCATCAGATCATCACAGATGTTCACTAGCTTTTTGCAAAAGACGGTATAGTTGAAGGTAGAACTGGAAAGTTCAAGGTTCATATGGCTCAAAAATATACGCAAACCCTGAAGGGTTACAACCAGTCAGTCGTCACACCACGTTGCGATTGATCCACAATGGCACACTTCGTATCTTATCTATTTTCAAATTTGGTTTCTAATATCCAGAATAGTTTCCGGTATCATGAGGCTGTAGTGGTTTCTATAAATGATGCTTGTTTTCCCGAGGATTTCCTTTCTTCTTCAGCCCTTCTTATTTTGCCTGTGAGCACTAGCTTTCAGTATGGACTCGCCACGAGAGACTGACGTCGTTTACGACGAGAAGAGTCATGAACCACCAGCCATCACCAAGAACCCCGAATCCATTGATTCTAAGGATGCAAAGAATGACAAGTTTGGAGAGACACCTTACGAAACCGAGATTTCTTCTAGTTCTGATGAAGAAGGACGTGGTGGTGAGGTCAATGCTCTTGAGACTGCAGAAGATATCGTTACCGCAATTATCAATGTCGATGATGACCCAACCTTGAATCCCTGGACTTTCCGCATGTTCTTCATTGGTTCGTACGCTCATTAATTTTCTTCTTTGTGAATGCTAATGTGTCATCAGGTTTGGGACTATCTGCTTTTGGGGCTGTACTCCAAGAGATCTTTTACTTCAAGCCTCAAGTCATTTATGTATCAGTCAGTAAGTTTATGATAACTACTCTAACGCTTGTTCCGCGTGTATTCTGATGCTTCTTAGTGTTCTTGACTGTTATTGCATATGTCATTGGAGAATTTATGGCTTTTGCCATCCCTAGATGGGGTGCAGTTGGTCGATTCCTTAATCCTGGTCCGTTTAACCAAAAAGAACACGCTGCCGCTGTTATTATGGCATCGGCCGCCGCTGTTTCGGCTTTGTCCACTGAAGCATTAGCAGCTCAAAAGCTTTGGTATGGAGGATATCCTAGTCAGGCTGCCGGTGTATTCTTGACTTTATCTTCGCAATTAATTGGGTACGGTGTTGCAGGTACGATGAGAAGTATTCTTCTGTGGCCCACAAAGATGCTTTACCCAGCAAATCTTCCAGTTACTACTGTCTTGGAAACGTTACACAAAGAAAAGAAAACCAACAGGAAGAGAATGAAGGTTTTCTGGATCATTTTCTTTGCTTTATTAGTTTGGGAATTGCTTCCCGAGGTGCGTTTTGCTATATCTTTGGTCTCAACCCAAGCATATCTGACATCATTTAGTACATTTTCCCACTTCTTATCGGTGTATCCATCTTTTGTCTTGCAGATCAACACAACCTAGTGTTCACCAATCTTTTCGGAGGCGCAAACGGAAACGAGGGTGTAGGATTCTTATCCCTATCTTTCGACTGGAACTATGTCGCTAGTTTTGGATCTCCCCTCTGGATGCCACTTCAGACTTTGGTAAACAGTTTCATCGGTACTCTCGGCTGCATTATCCTTTTTATGGCAGTATACTATGGTAACATTTGGAGGGCACAAGATTTCCCATTTTTGTCTCAACAATTGTTCAATGGCGATTCGAACTTTACCTTCTACGATACCTTCAATGAGACAACAATCCTCAATGACGATTTTACCGTGAACGAGGAGGCACTCGAAGCTGGAGGTATTCCTTATATGGCTTCCACCTATATTGTTTATCTCATCACATCCAACATGGGATTCACAGCTAATTTTGTTCACATGTTTCTCTGGAATTTTGAGGACATTAAGACAGGATGGGCTTGGGCTAACAAAGCCACACTGAAGAAGTTGTTAACACCTTCCCATTATATGTTCTGGAAAGGCAATGGCAGCAAACGCAGTGAAGAAGAAAAGCAAATCTTGAGGGATGATCCTAACATTGATCCGCATTACAAAGTCATGTTGGATTACGATGAAGTCCCCGATCTCTGGTACTTCTTGGCATTCGCGGCAAGTTTCATCACTTCGATGGCTTGTCTTTATGCTATGAAGTCAACCCTTCCATGGTGGGGTCTGATTTTGGCTATGCTTTTCTTGACGGTTTTCATGTTGTTTTTTGGTGCTCAGTATGCCATTACTGGTTTCCAATTCAATATTGAACCTATTGCTCAAACTCTTGCCGGATATTTATTCCCTGGAGCACCTCTTGGTAAGTTACATGCTTTTTCATAATTTGCAGCATTACTAACAATGAAATTAGCAAACATGTACTTCACAACCTTCACTTTCAATGCACTTCAACAAGGACAATATCTCCTCCGAGATCTTAAACTTGCTCAGCAAAACAAGCTTTCTCCAAAGGTCACATACACAACGCAGATAATCGGATGTATTTTCGGTGCTTGTCTCAATTACGTCATGATGATCACGTGAGTTGGCCTTTTTCCACACTCACTCTCTTCGCAAACTAACAAACCCTAGCATCGTCAAGAATCAAGCTCCAAACCTTCTGACCATTGAAGGAACGCCTATTTGGTCAGGAGCTAATGTTCAATCCTTCAACTCCCTCGCAATTGCCTGGTCTATTGCTCCTAAGATGTTTTCTATCGGTGCTCGTTACCAATGGGTCACCATTGCATACCTCCTCGGATTCCTCGTCCCCGTTCCCTTCTGGCTCCTCAACAAATATTTCCCCCAACAACGCATTTGGTCATACCTCAATCTCTCCATTATTCTCTGGTATTTTGGATATCTTTGCGTTGGTATCAACTCCAGTGTCTTCATGTACTACTACATCGGAGCATTCGGTCAATTTTACCTCCGAAAATGGAGACCAAAGTACTTCGTCAAGTGGAACTACTTGGTTTCTGCCGGTCTTGACGGTGGAACTCAAGTAATGCTCTTTCTCCTTACTTTCGCTGTTGCGGGAGGAAGTGGTGTTAGTAGACCTTTCCCAGAGTGGGCTGGAAATGCTGCAAGCGGTAATGTAGATAAGTGCATGTATAATGAGGCTAATGGGTAAACATGTGGGTTTGATGGAGGAGGAAAGAGGAAGGAAAGTCCTGATTGAAAGGAATTATAATGAAGGGACTTGATTACTAGTTATTATGAAGTTTAGATATTAATGAGGAGATGATGATACCCCAGTTTGGAACAACTATATGCTGTTGCTTGTCTCATGCATGCGACCTTCGTGTATATTTGAGAATCGCTATAGATGCGACCCCTCTTACGGCTTTCCCTGCTCCCAGGAAGGCTGGTAGACAGCGGCCTGTATCGTCGCTGTGTAGATACAATTCATATACTATCATGAGTTCACTGGCCATCCATATCTCAGGTAACGCTTTCAGCACCACTTTTATTACTTATTCAACTAAGAAAACAATCCACATGCTTGATTGCAATTCACCGCTTTGAATTTATAGGTTTTCTTTGAGTATTCACTGGTACGTTTGACTCTCTGTCAATCCGGCTCCTCCCTCACTAAATTCTCTTGCGTAACGAATCGTATTGCCTTCACTTCTTCAATCAGTCTTGTAATGTCAATTTGTCGATACACAAGCTGCAGTAGAACTTTAGTGCTGTCAGAACTAGGCTCAAAATTACGAACAGGGGCTCGTTGGTTGTATAGAAGCCACACTCATTGGAGAACGTCGATACATCAAAGCTTACTGTACGTCTATATACGGCCTTCTGAATTGGCTAGCCTTGACAATAATTAGTTACGGTGTTGACTTCTCTGCGTTGTGTAAGATATAAGTATCTCTTGCCCAGAAAGTATTCTTCTTCTTCATTTATAAATACATACACAATAGTCTCACACACGAGAAGCATCCATCTACTAATACAATATGCTTCGATCAACACTGAAATTGGTCCCTCCCGCTGGGCTTAAGTTGTATGTCCAATGCTGATGGTAATAGATATTCTATACTTTCGAGACAAAAGTCTCTGTATTACCAATTTCGAGGGGGAGACAAATGACAGGAATCGATTGTTCTGGAATAAGTTGCAATATCCAGTCGATCCGCGAGAGATCGACCGCATGAGTAAGGCCAAAGAAGCTGCCCAGAAAGTCTTGAAACACAAGAGCGAAGACCAGTGGAATGTCCCAAGACATTCTAAAACACACTTCCTGAACTTTCCTCGAGGTACCTGATCTTCTTATTCCATATCTTATAATCACTCGTTGACTAACAGATTATAGACATCCTAGACAATATTTTCAAACACGCTCTAGTCGCACTTCCTGGAGCTGTGATTTCTCCAAACCTTCTGGCCACTAATTGGAAGAAGAGATATATCGAGCCAAGTCACAAGATACATGTCACTGGGCAAAACTTCGAGCCCTACTACTCTGATGATGGCCATCGATCATGGCCATATAATCCCGCATACTTCGAAAATTTTCACGTATCCTTCAAACGCAAAACTCTCCGTGATAAGAAAGGGAAGTATGTTGAGCTCCAGAGAATCCTTCGTCCACAGATCGATGCAACACTCCATCGCACCTGCAAGGTTTTCCACGAAATCGGCTCTATATTGCTGTATCGTCATAACAAATTTCATTTCTGCATGGCAAATGAATCCACGGAAAAGAGTTCCCCTTCATGGATTGGAAAATGGGCATATAGACCGGAGCCAAGCAAACGTGGAATCGACAAAGAGTCGATCTCCAAAGCCATTCAGCAACTCCAAGGCAAATCCATCGTCACATCAATTCCGGGCTGGTGCAACTACGATCCATTCATTCGTTTCCTCTACCACGCTCGGATACGTAACTCAACTTTCATTAAAAAGCTACAATTCGAAGGAACGATCAAGGATCATGAGTGTAACAGAAATGCTTGCAGGCTTCAGTGCGACGATGACTTCATCACGAGTATGAAATGTTACATACCATTCATCAACACGTTCTGTCCCGGACTGCATGAATTAACGTTAGAGGTAGACGTTGACCATTGGGGAGCTGCATCCACTCCAGCTAGACGACAAGTCGAATTCAACGAGATCTTCTCACAATTGCTCGAGAATGAAATTAGAGAACTGAAGACTGTTCGGGTTCTTAGAGTCGTTGCTGCGAAACCGTCGAGGGACCATTATCCAAAAGCTGATGTTAGTATTGCGAGGGATACTGTACAATGGTTCAAAGAAAGAGAGACTGCTCGGGTGCAGGAATAAATTGGCCCTTGTCGTGGTTGTTAGAGTTGGAAGCATGCCGCTGAAAGCCAATCAAACCGATGGAATTTTTTGAAGGAGTTATGATTCAGGGATCGTCAAGGGCTACGGAGTTCTTTGGGTTTCGGTATGCTTAATGGTTATTGATGTACAAGGATAGCAAGAACGAAGTCCCTTCAGTCGCTAAATCAATCAATCAATCGTAGATATCATACAGAAAAACGAAGTGTCATGTATTGTGAACTCCAATATGACATTGATGAGCATCCCTCCTCTGATTGACAGATCTTCCATAATGCACATCTCTAATATACATCTTCTTTGAATGCATTTATTGCAACAACATTATTACAAAGAATCCGTGATTACTAGTGACTGTCTAGCAATCTCACAACCTCCCAATTAAACATCTCAAGCTCAAAGTCTCGTGAGCCCAATACATACAGAGCGGATAGACAATGTTTATGTAATGTACCTTTCAGCACCAAACTATCCACAAGAACATTTTCATGCTTATGATCACACCACAGACTATCCAAATCACATACTACTACCATTTTGATCTGTTCCGCTTCCATTCCTGCCTGTATCATGGATTCCCCAAAATGGATCAAACATGGCCCCGACATTTCCAACCATATCCGTGCCCATTCCAATCCCACTCCCCACTCCTGCCGGTCCAAAGTCTATTCCATTAATCCATTGGCCACCATCATCTGCGTTTCCAGAATTCCAATCTGCATAGTGATCATTTCCATTTCCGATCTCTAGCAGACCCAACGTCGTAGCACTTTCAGTTGTGGGCGAGAGGACGCCTGTCGTGTTGAGATTGAGAGAATTGTGATTTGGTAGTGTATTGTCACCGTTTGTGTAGTTGACGTGGTCCAGAGAGAGAGGACCCGGTGTTACGCCAGAGGTGAAGAGAGAGGGGGTCGAGACTCCAAGGGAAGGCGTGGTGAAGAGGCGGCGAGTTTGAGAAGTGGTGAAGAGGTGAAGAATTTCTTTGACGCTGCGATACTATAAATGATGCGATGTCGGTAAATGCATGCAAGCCTATGATTACAAGAGTGGAATGAAGAAAAATCAAATACTTACAACATCATCGACATGAGCATTGACCTCCCTCAACCCCTCTAAAATATCGGTAACTTTCTCCAGCCTCCCCATTATCCTAGATCTCTCCTCTTCGCTTGAAAATCCCACAATATCTGCCGTCCTTATGATTATATTACTGCATTGATATACACATGTTGCAATTCCTGTATCACTAATCAATGTATGCCCAATACTTTGTACAGTGTGACAAATATCCAATATTACAACAGCATGTTTGAACGCTTTCCTTTGACAATACTGCACATATTCCTGAGGGGTATTTCCCAGTATTGTATCAGACATCGAGTCTTTAGTTCCTGGAAACATGAATCGGTAAAGGTCAGTATGACATTGTTGCCATAAAACATGAAACATAACAAATCTTGTTAGTTGTGGTGAGTATGCTCGGAGGAAGAGATTGTCTTCGTTATATTGAAGGTTTGCCGGCAGTGAAGAACGAAGTTGCTCCAATTCAGCCTCCAATTTCTGTAACATGTCTCGCGAATCGTATGGATTTGATTTGTCCCGTATCACATTCCTCGTGTACCTAATAGCTATTGTCAGCTTGAGATTTCAATCAATGTGATGTATCAAACCAAACATACTCTAGGATGCGATGCCTTATGTCAGATATTCGAAAATAAAATGATCTCAAACCCAAGTGCATAGATTCAGACTCATTCGTTCTAGTCGATATCAAAGGAGCAGTCTCTCCCGGTATACCAAGATCGAAATCTTTTTCACTACAAGGTAATTGAATGTGCATCGAATGCGAAGGACAGACCAGTAATTCCGGAAATCCTCCAGCAGAAAGTCTATCAACATGGAAAATTGACCACATCAGTCTCCTCCTGCATTCCCTCACCAATGTTGACAGGCCATTATTTTCATAATTCAGCCCCAATACGAATGCCATTTTTGCTGCTACAGCCGTCAGTGCTTGTGATTTGAAATATTCTCGATGTTCAAATCGATAAAATACAATCACAAGAAGAACTTCCACCAATACGGCAGAAGGTCTGCTTAAACTTTGCCAAACGTAATTTTCCGCTTCATTCATCCATTTCTGAGCTGCAGCACGACTTTCGTCATCTTTGGAGACGAATGCTATTGATGAGGCGCACATAGCTTTAACTAAAGCTGGATTTACAGCACCATTATTCCAATTCCTTAGGAATGTAGCTCGATGAATGAAACCTTTGCCAGGCGTCGAAGAGACAAATTCAAAATACGCATCTATGTACCGCTTTGTAGTAGCCTTTGAGATTCCAAGTTCGCTGAGGAGAAATGTTAGCAAGTTTTCTTCGGTATTTCGCCCCCGCTTCAGGATCTCACACTAAGCCATCTGTTCCATCTCCAACTTCCATTGGGCTTCCTCCAGCAGAGACAGTATTTACCACGGCTCCAGGACTATCGCCATTTTGGCTTGTTCCAGCTGGTGGATGTCTGGGTACACTCCTCCTCGCCCCTCTACTTGTCGATTCATATTCACATATGTATCCTCTCTGTTCACACCTCCTACAATTCGGCGTTGTACCACTGCATCTTGCCTTATGCGAATGACAAATCCGACAAGCCTTTCTCGCTCTCTTCCTCTCGGTTCCTGCCTGAGTAAAGCGATCTGGAGAATTGAATTCAAGGTCATTATTTGTCAATCCATGATCTGCAGCCATCCTTATCTACACGTGATCGTCTTAATCCCGTGATAGGGCATTCGGAAGGGACTCGATCGGGAATTATCGGGAAGCGGAGTAACGGGTACGTGTTCGGGGCAATTGTTGCAGATGTCTTCAATTCGATGTCTTGGAGATGTAGGTCACGGATGTAAAACAATACTTGGCAAGAACAAAGATTCTTCGATTAAGGTTAATAAGGATGATCACGTGAATACGACGATAACCACCAACGAAGATTTTTCACGATATTTTGAAAGTTCGGATCTTGTAAGTTTGATTGGCCAGATTCAGGAGCTATGTAGTACCAATAAGGATTTCGAATTCTGTTTAATATGAGATGGATTATATCGCCCTTCCTGCTCTCAAATTATCTCAAGCGGACTTTGTTACGCTTCCTCGTCAATTTACATACACCACTCCGAATGAAATAATTTACCATCTAACAATTGAGTGCTAACAATGGTGATGGCCCTTCTTCCGAAATTGATGCGAGTACAACCATTCGTACATGCCTTTCTGAGAACTAGTGAAAGGCCATCTAATATCTCATTAACTTCAGAGGGTTCGATGGCACTATATACCTAGATATCCAGATCCCCCAAGGAAGCACTTGAGTAGGTGGCTACGGAGTATTCCGTGGTGATTTCCCAAAATCGGCTTTGATCAAGCCCCTTCATCAGCCGAAGCGAGAATCCAACAACTTTAGTTTCGCTACCTGATATCACGACCCGATGTCAAAGTTCAACATTCCACTCTTCAATCCGGTTTCGTATCGCGGTAATGATTGCCAAGCTCTTGGTCAACCTGAATGGAGTAGTTTACTTATTCATCCTGTTGGATTTCTCAAATATTTCCAAGAGCTACTCCAAGACCAGGAGTCTGTCCGTGCTCGATGCATGAACCTTATCCTACGTACAATCATAACGATTCAGCATACTGAGCCGAGGCAGTTGCAGTCGATGGCTTACTGTTTACGCCAACTAGGATCCTGGCGCTCAGTGGATAGGAAGACTATCAATGTCATCTTTTCAGATCTTTCTGGGCAGTTGAATGGATTGCTGTTGAGTTATTATCGATCCAAATTCCTGGAACCGAGAGCCAGGTCACTGATGGAGCAATGACCATACTCATTCAAATTATGCGCATCTCATTAAATGTTTATCACATGGTACTCGAGAATCGATAGGGACGCAGGATCTGTCGTTGAGATGTCACATCACGCTACAATCTCGCGCGTCTCTGTCATGTTCCACAAACTAGCCATCAACGCTTAAATCTTCTTCCCAATAACGGGGGTTCGATCTCTACTGAGATTCTATCGCCAAAAGATACCCGAACATTAACCTAGCCCAAGTCTCCAGCGAATTCCATCAGTCTTGTGAATCTTCTCAAGTTCTCAGCTTACCATGCTCGGTCTAAGCACAACGTACGTACAAGGATCTTCCCCTCAGCCTCGGTACAAACTCGCTATATTTCCCCAGTCCTCCACACTCCACAATCCGCTTGACGTCGCAGCAGCCAAGAGCAAAAAAGACTAGGCTCGGGGGTGACGGCCGGAATATACTAATCGAGTCAGGTGAATCAACAATATCTTTCTTTTCTGACAGGAAGGCAATTTTATGGCAGGAAAGTTCCTGATTTCTGGAAGGAGCTAAGGCAAACGAGCATGCAAGTAAACAAATGTACAAGTAATTCCCTCGTAAAGTCTCTCGAAAGAAAACCTTGATATCTCACCAGTGCCTGGGGTAAAAATGGGGGTGTATGCGTGCGGGGACTCCACACACTTCATGGAAAAGAGCATCTAGAATACAAGTACAATGTAACACTAACCCCGCAAAACAATGCATGCAAATAGTATAAAGAGGAAGGTGATATGCGCTTCCTGTCGCCGTGGTTTCTATTGCTTCTACTATCCTATCTCTTTCGCTATATCCGTCCCCTTTGTCTTATTCTGTCTTCACCCTTCTCAGCATCCAGAGGACAATCCTCTCTCGCCTCCTTCACCATGTCTAAATACGAAGCAGAGCACCTGGAAACGGGCGCCGGCGAGCACCCGCCCCTCCAGGAGATTCCTAGCGTAATGGATATTGATGCCAAAGAAGCCCATGGGCAAGTAACCCAAATACAAACCGCATCTGTCGCCTTGGCCGCCGCCGTCGCCGCGCAGAAGCCTCGTCTATTGAGTCGAAATATGATACAGTTGTATGCAATCATGGCAATTGGCTATTTAGT